ATGGTTGTTCTATGTTTAATATTTGAAGAACTTTCCACACTGTTTTCCATAATGTTTATGCTGATTAACACTCCCACCAAGAGTGTACTAGAGTTCACTTTTCTCCACACTCTAACACTTATCTCTCGTCTTTTTGATAATAGCTTAAGAGGTATGAGGTGATAACTTATGGTGGTTTTGGTTTTCATTTCCCTGACGATTAACGATCTTTTCATAAACCAGTTGGCCATTTGTGTGCTTTTGGAAAATATCTATTCAGGTCCTTTGCCCAATTTCAATCATGTTGTCAGATATATGAGGGTACTTCAAAAATTTCATGGAAAAATGGAACTAAAAGATAATATGAATCTTTCCATGAATTTTCTGAAGACCCCTAAGGGTTTATTTCTGGGCTCTCTATTGTGCCCTATTAGTCTATGTGTTTTTGTGCCAGTACCATACTGTTATATATTACTACAGATTTAAAATAGAGTTTCAGTCAGGAAATGTGATGACTTCAGCTGTGTACTTTCTCAAGATTGCTTTGGCTATATTGGGTCTTTAGTGGTTCTATACAAATTTCAGGATTTTTTTTATTTCTGTGAAAAAATGGCATTGGAATTTTGGTAGGGAATATACTGAATCTATAGATTTTGGAAGTATGGACATATTTTATATATATATATATATATATATATATATATATATGTTTTTGATTTTTGTTATTGAAATGTTTGAAGCGAGTGAATTGTACAATTATTGACTTTTGTATATTAACCTTGTGTCCAGCAACTTTGCTATATCCACTCATTATTTCTAATAGTAGGTTGATTATTTCTGACATTTTTATGTACAAAATGTGTCAATTTCATATAAAGAAAGTTTTACTTCTTCCTCTTAATATTTATACTTTTTATTTCTTTTACTTGTCCTGTATTATCAGTGACCTCCAGCCTAGTGTATAGAATTGGTGATAGTGGACATGTTTTTCTCAATCTTAACTTTAGGGGACAAGCATTTAATGTTTCACCAGCAAATATAATATTAGCTAGGATTTTTGCAGATACATTTGAATTTCAAGAAATTTGGGGGAAATTTTTTAAAACATCAACTATATTATTTGGTTTCCAAGTGTTCTGAGGATAAAGTTTATATTTCTCATATGCTTTACAATTCATTATCTGATTCCCTGCAGGCTCAGCTCTGAATACAGTTGCTCATGTGCCCTAATTACACTGTGTCTGCTATGATTTTCCTTTGTCTTAAAATCTCTGCACACCTTGTTTCCACTAACTTGAAATTTCATTTCAGGAATTATTTTGTAACTCCTCACATATAGATTCTATGCCCCCATTCCTGTCATATATATACAGATTACATCTTATATTTTCCTGTCTTCTCTGTTTATTTTTCTATATTATTTATTAGACACTGAGTTCAGTGAGAGCAGTGCAGATATCTGTCTAGTCAAATTAAATATAATACTCAGAATTCACCCAGGGTTTGACATGTGGTAAACGCTCAATAGATCTTTGTTTAATGAGTGGATGAAACAAAGAAGGAAGGAAGGAACAGCTAGCTCTTGGTTAATTGAGAATTCAATATTAGAATTGTCTCACTCAAAAGCCCAAACCCTGCCTATGAAATATAATATTATATATGTGTGTATATATATATATATATATGTGTGTGTGTGTGTGTGTGTGTGTGTGTGTGTGTGTGTGTGTGTATATATATATAATATATATAATTGTACTCCAATAAATTAAAATGATCTAAAATGTTTTTACAGTGTCTTACATGTATTATAGCCATTAAGTCATGGTTGTGAAGACCACATAATGAATTTGATAGTGAGTGATATAACCAATATTTAGAAAAAGTAGAATGTAGAATTGTACACACATTTATAATTGCAACTTTATAATGCAACTTGTATATATATACAAGTTGTCTTTTTACATACATGAAAAAAGACAAAAAGAAACTCTGCTAAAGTATCCTCAAATATCTCTTATGCTCATAATTATAATTGAAAGCAATGCTTTCTCTGTGCCAACTGACATGTCATTATCACAAATTACTTGTATTTGTGAGACTAGATGATGCATAAAACTATTACTAAACTAAAAAAAAAAATTCAAAAGCAGAAAACTTATTTTTTTTTAAGTAGCCAGTTTATTCCCAACCCTAAATGTCCTGTTTCACCTTACACTATCTGGAGGGATTCAGGTGGTTTTGTGTTTGCTATTGTGGTGTTATTTTTAGTTTTCTTTTCTTTATTTCGGAGTTCATTGATGTACTAACAATAACAACTATGGACTCATTCTTCACAGGTAAAACTATAATTATTGTGAGTGCTGGCAATATCAATATTTATACATTACTAGGTCAGGTCAAGAGGATCACTAGTTAGCAGAGTACTTTCTGGATGCTATTTGACTTTAGCTCCTTGATCTTCTTCATTAATTGCAAACAGAACAAAAGCAGAGGCAGAATAAAACATGAGGCAGGGACATAGCAGCTCTTTTTGAAATGTTGCTTCTCTGTAGCTGTGGCCTGCCCTTAATAGAGTCAGAGCATACAAACTCACGTCACCTATTTAATTCAAAATGTTTCTAGTCATTATTACTAGAATGCAAGAAAAAACAAAGTTAATGATCATTAAATAAATGGTAGATAAAACTTAAAATCATGTCTATTCATCTCTCAAAAGTTATCCAAGGTACTTCAAAAAGTTTTTGGAAAATGGAATTAAAAGTGTATATGAATTCTTCCATGAACTTTTTGTAGTACCTTCATACTGTACGAATAGTGTTATCTTTATTTAGAAAAGGGATATTTGCCAGTTACTATTTAATTTGAACAAGTCACTTGAACTTCCAAAGTTTCAATCCCTTGATTTCTAAAATGGGATAATGATATTTTACGGCCAGAATTATAGATTTGCAAGATATGATGTTTGATGTGCTATGTAAACGGATGACAGTTGTGATACATAACTTTGATGTTTGTTTTGGTGTATAAATGTAAATTTTTCATACATGAAACAGTCAGTGTGTGTATGTAAGTTTGTGTTGTTTTTCACTTAAAATTATTTTATAAATATGTTTATAGTATTAACATACTTTCATTATTTTTGAGGTGACAAAATATTACATTATGATGATATACCCTCATTTTGGGGGGTCTTTAAATCTTTCATTGAATGTGGGGAAAAGACAGATAAACTTTTACAAACCCTGCTGTAACAGGGTTACACCATCTGTTGCACTGCTGGTACTATCACTGCCACCACCACTACTGCTATTACACTGATACTTATTAATCATAAGCTACAGTTATTCAGTGCTTAGTTAGTGCCAAGCACTATGCTGAGAACTTTTTACACCTGAGCAATTTCAAATCTGTCATCATCTCATTTTACTGCTGAGGAAACTGAGGCAGTGAATGGTGAAGAGTTATGCCCAAATCACACCGTTAATATGTATCTGAACTGAGATTTAGAACATAACTCTGCACTGTCCAATATGGTAGCTACTTAACACATGTAGCTATTTAAATTTGAATTTAAATTATTTGAAAGTAAATAAAATTACAGATCCAGTTCCACAAGCTCCCTAGCCACGCTCAAGTGCACAGAAGCCACTTATAGCTGTTGGCTGCTGTATTGGATAGAGTAGATATGGAACATTTCCATTGTCCATCACTACATCTTTCTGACTCCAGAGTCCATACATCTCTGGAGTCAGAAAGACATATTGCTGGAAAATTATCTGCTCACTTTGTTAAACACGTCTGTTTGTTGCACTTTCTATTTTATTGCCTGGTGATTCATTCTAATAATTCCAGCATGAGATATTGTCCCTTAATTTGAGGTTTGTCTCCAAATTATAAATTTAGGTTTGACTCATAAATGTTCTATGTTCTTTGGTGTTTTTAAGATTAAACATTTCATTAGTATTTTATTCTAATACATGACAACACTGAAAGGTTTTATTTTCTCTACCTAAAAACATGAAATTGCTTTAATGAGCTCTTAAGTCTTTCAGCTCTGATTTACCTATTAGTTCTTTACAGAAAAGGACAAGTGGTGATATCAAAGTACATATATATATCTAGCCTTTTTCAATTAGCCAAGCACTTTTACTCCATTACACCATTTTAATCTTCATAGCAATCCCCTGAGCTAGTTAGAACAAGTATTATTATACTCATTTTCCAGATTAAAAACCTGAGACTTAGACAATTTAAGGAACTTTCCCAAAGACATACGGCAGATTATGGGCAATCCCCTGAGCTAGTTAGAACAAGTATTATTATACTCATTTTCCAGATTAAAAACCTGAAACTTAGACAATTTAAGGAACTTTCCCAAAGACATACGGCAGATTATGGAACTGATGCTTTACTTGCTTTATTTTTGTTAATTACCCCGTGTAAATTATGCAGAAATAAATGACAGAGAAACAGCATCAATAACAGTGTCAGGATGGAATGAAGAGGTGTGGAGAATGCTAAATATGCTACAAATATCAATGAACTGTAATGATACAGAAAATTGAATAAATCCCTAGATACTGGATTATTTCTAGATATAAAAAGACTGCCAAATGTAAACTACTCTTTTACTGGACTTAATTGTAATCGACTATAGAGAAGCACTTTGTTACTAATTTAATTAATGTCCAGAAATACATATTCATTGATTCTTATAATCAAAGGAACACAGGTGGTCTTATAAAAATGTCAGTGCAATAAAATACGTTATTCTTTTTATCGTATTCATCGGGAGGAACCTCTAATTTGATTTAGCCAATCTCAACAGAAAATACAGAAAAAATTAAAAAATTCTAAACAAAAAGATTATTGGCATACGTTTTTCAGCCATGGAGTATCTAAAACACTCCTGCCTTCTGATATGCCCTCTAGTATTAGCAAATTTCACATAGGAACCAAGGCATAGAAGTGAATTGGAAGAGTAGAGAGGGAATGTGCAGTTGCTGATTTCACTCCATTGCTTTCCTTTTTTTTTTTAGTTTGAATGCACAAAACTAATAATTATTACATGATAAATGAGGAACAAATTCAAGTGTGACTCTTAGCTTGTGAAAATCTTTGGTGCATAAAACTTTGAACATGACACATCCAGCTTTGCAAAAATTAGTGCATCCAAAATTTAGTTACTCTGGCAACCAGTTTCTTTTCATCAGGCAACTTACTGGAATCTTTTTGTTTTGTATATTTGTGTCTTCTTTTTTTACTTTAACTAATATCCAGAATTTTAAAGCTTGATAATTAAAGAAAACTTCTGAAATTTTATTTTCTTTTATTTTTATTCATAAAAAAAAATCAGTGGAGTTTTTCCTAAATTGCCTAAGTCAGGGAATGTGAATGTCTCTTTAATACAGGATTTATTATATTTCCACCACAGTTGTTTTAAATTTTTCCATAAAATAACAACTTTTTGTAAACTTTTTAGGTTTTAGATTTTTCATATAATAATAAGAAAATTTTATTTTATACATAATAAAAATGCCTCTCATTATTACTTTCCACAGCACATTAAAATCGTTATTTAAGGTAACAGAATTGGCAGAAGTGCTTTTTCTATTCCTATTAGTTCCAGTATGGAAGTATGGTATTTGCCAAGTCAGGATATCGTCTTGATTTCTTTTTAGATCAGCCTCCCAATAATGTATTTGGGCAATTTTCCAGTTTCTTTGAATTCATTATAGTTGGATAATTTTCACCCAAATTTATTCTTTTAATAAAAAGAATTCCAAGATAAAAATAGATACAAGGAGCTTAAGCATATTGATTTGTAAATTATGAAAGTCCAAACACCTTTTTGAATCCAAAATTGTCAAGCATGCTGATATGTTACCATCATTTTTTTCTGTCAGACACAAAACAGTTATGTAATGTCCAGTTGGCTTTGGTTCATTTATTAAAATTTGTCTCATTCGTTTCCGTGGGATAAATATTTTCTTATAGTTGTTGTGCTTTGTTTTTTTTCATATTTTAATGTTTAAAAAATGTAGCATTCCACATCTCACCTCTACATATCTACTTCACCATCTACAATCATTTAAGTTCTGAAGTCTTAAGTTAAATAATGACAATGCAGCAGTCTCAGTCAATGATTGGTCATTTGAAAGGAGCACATTGTACCTCATTTTAATATTCTTGCTCTGGCAATTGCTTCAGTGCATCATATGAATAATGCATTCTGAATAATGCATGTATCCTACTTTAATTACTTGTTTAATTATCTTTAGTTTGTTTCAAAGCCTAGAGCAACTGCTGTTGCTTGGATGATTAGAAAATTGCTTCCAGTTGCAGAAATCTATTTCCTGTTGTTTCTGCTGGCAGTGATTGCAGACCGGCCTCCCCCAGTCATTCGACAAGGACCTGTGAATCAGACTGTAGCAGTGGATGGTACTTTAGTTCTCAGCTGTGTGGCCACAGGCAGTCCAGTGCCCACAATTCTGTGGAGAAAGGATGGAGTCCTTGTTTCAACTCAAGATTCTCGAATCAAACAGCTGGAGACAGGAGTGCTGCAGATTCGATATGCTAAGGTAACTTGAAGTGACACCCTGGGCTCCCTGTCTTATTCCACTTTGTTTTTGCTTCCAGCAACTAGGTGTTGAAACCTCAAATTTTAGAATTAATGAAATGCTAAATAAAAGTATTAACATATTTTTAATTTGATGCTTTATTTCTGAAACTTTCCATTGTGTATGTTTAAGATAATTTGACTCATATTTTAGCCTATGGCAAGTAATTTAAGGTTATATTGAGGAGAAAAAAAAAAGATCCTAAGACCTACTGAGGAAAGTAGATGGGGATTTTCTTTCCATTGTGTATGTTTAAGATAATTTGACTCATATTTTAGCCTATGGCAAGTAATTTAAAGTTATATTGAGGAGAAAAAAAAAAGATCCTAAGACCTACTGAGGAAAGTAGATGGGGATTTTTGGAAGCAAAAATACGCTCCAAGCAGTAGTATGATGCGGTTATTCCATAAAGAATTTTTTCAAGATATTTTCTAGTACCATTTTACATGCAATGTACTTAAACAGTTCTATTGTGAGTAATTGGCTCAGCATTTTGCTATTACAGAATACTATACATGCAAACAAAAGCTATAAAGCAATGTACATACTGAGTGTACATTTCAAACCAGAACTTTCAATGATGAAAAGCCTACGGGTTTGTGGGAACAATTTAGGGATTTACCTTCCCAGGGCATCACATCCCATACCTGTTCTTTCAGGACTGTGTTTTTTGTTTTGACTTTATTTTTTCTTTTTAGGTCAAGATCAGACAGGCTCCTGAGATCATGAGACATGTGAAAGAATAGTTTTGAAAACAATAAACATAAATTTCAATTGCTTTATTGCCTGTTGTGGGTGGCTTCTTTGGAGTTTTTGATCAGCATCATACTTCTTTTTATGTGTCACAAAAGTTAATATATTGTACTTCTTTGTGACAATTATTGTGACATTGTTATTGCAATTGCCAGAGCAAGATGACAACATTTTTGCTTTATCAAATGTTAATTTAAGATTCGGTTATTAGCATAAGCAAATGTATATGGGTTTATTATACTGCTGATGATTTTAAATGTGAATGTGTGATATGTGTTTGTTTTATCACGTTCAGAGTTTAGAAGAGAAAGAGAGAGTTAATTCCAGCTAGGGTTTGGCTTTATACTTCTCAAACCACCTTAAATAATAGGCTTAAAACATGGGAGGGGGAAGTGCAAATACCTTAAGAAGAAATCCTTTTTTAGTTATCCTTTCTCTGTAAATGTATGTTTGTTTCATATATCCATATAGGTATAACTCTGATAAATATGAAATAGCAAGAATAGTCATTGGCTAAACTTTATCAGCCTTATTATGTGACTTATTGGACATAAAGATATAATTTAACAATAAAGATTAACTATTTGAATTTGAGGAGTTACATACCTCAGTAATTGTTAATTGTCCCTGAAACTAATATTATGATTTGTTAATACAACTAAATATTATGTTTATATTATACAGTTATAATAACCATATAGAAGCTCCATATAATTACATGTGGGTGTAAAATCTTAATCATTTCATAATTGTATTTAAAATTAAGTAAACTTTATTTATGTTTAAATTCGGTACTCATCACCTTCTGGAGGAATCTTCAGGATTACAACCTTAATCAAGTAATACTCTCAAAATCACACAAATGTGAGAGATATTTGGAGAGTAAACTTAAATTTGTTCTTAATCTCTCTGTTCAGTGAACAACTTATAAAGCATGGGAAAAAAATACTTTAGGTCTTTATGTCAGTTAGCCTGTTTTTTATTGTCAATTATGTGAGCCATGATATATGAAAATTTTAAATGAAAAACAGCTATATTTTGGTCAAAGCTGGGTTAAAGAAACAGATAAAAAGAAAAATGGACATGTTAAAAGCTGCTTCTAAAACATTTGAAACTAAAAATTTTGTTCACTTGAACCACATTTTGGATATACTGCTTTTAATATTTTGTGAATAGAAATTATTTTTAGCTTTCAACTGACAGATTATTATCTCCTATCCACCCTCTTGCTCATCCTATTATTTTAATGCTCTCATACCACTAAAATTTATGTATTGATTAAAAAAAGAGATAGTTTGAATCAACCTTTACTCTTTTTTTACATAATGTCGTTGCAATTACAATGCGTTGTTCTTATTTTAATCAAGAAAGCCAATTCTAGAGGATAGTGATTAGAAATATAAAATTATTTTCTCAGCATACAGGGGACTCATGTCTCTACCTTGAGGTACACATTTCCCAAAGAAAAATTGTAACTTTGTTATAATGATAGAAACAAATTATGCTCAAGAAAAACTTTAACCATTTTTTCCTGGTTTGGGAAGGGATCTGCCAGCCATGTCTCATGTTTTGTGTTTTCTAGTGCATATATCAACAGTCATTTTGGAAGGATTTTTTGTTTCAGAATTCACAAAGGAAGCAAACCGAGTTGTAGAACATGCCCACGTCTGTCTCATGTTGTGTGAATTCAACACACCCAAATGCCTGTATTTGCTGATATGAGTCACCTCACCAAGAGTTTTAATAGACTTGGAGCCTGCCTTAAGGCAGTTTGAGGTTTTCAATATTAGATACGCATTTGTAAAGAATGCAGAAACTATGACAGCTGTAAAATGAATTTAAACTTTTGTTCCCATTGTAGTGGGCTCTATCCAGTAGACTCTAACTGAAAGTTTTTGATTGCTTCTTAACGCTATTCTATCACATACTCATATTAATGATTTTATAATATAGGCCCTCATCTTTAAGTGAGGCGGTAGTGAACATTTTATATGCACATTAAGAGTTTTTAAAATGTTAGTCAATTTGCCTTTGTACATACATAGCTAGTATAACAACTTAAGTGAAATTAATCCATGTCAACTGGAAGACTGGATATATACAGAAACTGGCATAGAATTTTTAAATCAATAAATTTTCATCTCATCTTCTCAACCTACTATGTGACTGTAAGCAAATTAGTCAGTCCTTCTGGGCTTAAGTTTCCTCACCTGTAAAATGGGACTAAATGTACTCCTCAAGATTGGGGAAAGTTTAAATTAACTAACTGGTATATGAGTAAACAGGATTCAGGTTTTTTGTTTTTGTTTTTGTTTTTCTATTTTATGCCATAAGACTCTGGTCTTGAATTTCTTTCAGTTTCTGGACTAAAAATAAAGGAAGTTCATAAAATTTGTGGGTATCATAAAATCGAGAAAGACAGCTAGTGTGCCAAGTGAAAGAATCAAAATTAAATATATCTCGACAGTCTGGGAGGATGGGCAAGTGCTAGCAATATTAAAATTAGTGGAGCAAATTAAAAGGCATGATATTTGAACTTAGGTTTAAAAAATTAGCAGAGAAGGATAGACAGAGGATACTGGCTTAAGAGAACATGTGGATATGTGTCAGGGCTGTGGGAGGTGGACAGACTTGAGTGTCTGAAGTCAGTTAAAACACCTATCTGAACCAACTGAGTGATGTAGCTGCCAAAAAAATAAATACAGTCTTAGCTGGCATTAGTGGAATTATGTCCGGATCGAGTATTCTCCCCCCTCGACTCTGAACTGGTCATATCATGAGTGGAGTAATGGTTTGTGGTGAGCACTACATTTCCAGGTGGACTTTCAAGACTTTTCAGAGGAGCAAAGTGAGCATAGTTAGTAGGGCTGCCTGGATAGCTAAAAATCACATCATCGGAAAAGAAATTCATGGATTTTGGCATGTTTAACCCAGAAAATAATAAAGTGAGAGTAGGCATGACATCTTTTCCCTAAAATTTTAAGAGACTGTCATGTGGAAGAGGTATGCTCATTCTAACTCCAGGCACTGGAACAGACCAATGAATAGACCTAACACTGAGGCAGATTTCACTGTCTAGTTCTTGGACTGCTTTTGAGACACTTTATAGCCCAACTGTGGGTCATGGCCATAGCAGAAACCTGGGGCAGAACCTGAAAAAATTCCTCTTGGAAGGTACCAAATGCATAAGCAATGAGGGGAAAACCCAGGGGTGGAGGAAATTTAGAAAAGACTTGTTGGAACTTGATTCATAAGGAACCAGGTATCCTATCTATTCCCATTTTTGAAACACAGTTGCAAAAGAATCTTACCCAAGTACAGACACCTATGAATGAGCTGAGGTCAAAAGGTAAAAGTACACAGATACAGGGCACAGGTTCCTAGTTCAGGAGTCAGGTAGGCTTATGTCGCAGTTGGAATGAGAGCCTTGTCACGAGGTGATCAACATATGCTTTACCAAAGACAAGATTTGACAGTGCGGGGAAGATGAGTCTAGTAGCTGGCAGGGAGGGGTGGTGGTCATCGCTGGTATGTGGTGGTAGTTGCTGCTGGAACGACTATTCTTCATCCACATGCCCTGTCCATGCAGCATTCTTGAGCCCTACTTTTAAAAGAATATGTACACAGACACAGAATGTAACAGAATATATGTAGTTACATAGGAAGATGCCAGTTATTGTAAGTAATGAGTGGGGCCTGGACAATCTCCCTCAGCGATTGTGCACAGGGAGGTCCAGCACCGGGGAAGCGACTGCATAGAGCAATATCTAAGGCTTCCTCCAAGTCAAATTCTGAATGCTGGGAAGAACCTTTGATATTATAATACGTTTCTTCAGGAGAAACAGGAGAACAATATCTATGAAGGGATCAATTCATAAACTTCTCAAAATTACATTATTAGATGTCACTTTCCATTTTTTCCTCTGATGTGAAAGTTTCTAAAATAGTAGTATAGGACAGCTATTGCTGGAATGGTTATACTTGGTTTGGGAAGGGAGGGATTTTCATGGAGGGATTGACCAGCGAGTTTATCTCAAACCAGAAAAATTAGGGATTGAGATGCAAATCATGGTAGTTACCTTATAAAATGGTTAGTTCTGCATTTGAAGATACTTCCCAAAAGACAGACGATTCCCTGAGGATGGGAGCTTACATATAAGGCAAGTGTTTGGAAGCTGACATTAAGTGTGCGTTTTTCATACACTAAAACACTTTATTTATTTTTGTTTTCTTTTCTTTTATTTTATTTTTGGCACTGGCTGGTATGGGGATCCAAACCCTTGACTTTGGTGTTTTCAGCATTATGCTCTAACCAACTGAGCTAACTAATACATTTTAATTCAACTTGTTTATTAAGCACATTCTGTGTACATGACACTGTGCTAGTGCTGTGGGTCCACAAAGATGGTCCTGATGCCTTTCCTTAAGAAAAATTCTTTTTATACCTTACCACTGGCAATTCTCACAACAGTCTTCAGAGTTAGCTGCCACTGATATTACCATTTGACACATAAGGAAACCAAAGAATAGTGAGGTTAAGAAATCCTCCCAATGTCACATGTTGCAAATCCAAGTCTGTTTTATTCCACATACCTCACTCTCACCCTAGAAATAAATGGTAGCCAAAGTCATGGGAGCAATTGAGACCAGTAGGAAAGGAAATGTGCCTGAGATGGAAAGGTGACAGTCAAGTGTTTCTATCTGTAGGCTGTGATAATAGGTATCCTGAGGTCCAGAACCTGCCAAAAATACTGGTGAAGTATGACAAAGTATGAGGTGCCAGAATTATCTGTTGTTTTTCTCATTTTGCTTATTGGTAAGCTTAATTTGCAGGTTAAATATATAGACAATCAAGTGAAATTCAAGAATATTTAATGGCACTCTTGATCTGCTATCTCTTGCCTGGCTTCCTTGGGCTCCATCAGACAAACTTACCAATCTCATTGTTTTTCTTTTGGTGGCTGGCCAGTACAGGGATCTGCACCCTTGACCTTGGTGTTATCAGCACCATGCTCTAACCAACTGAGCTAACCAATCAGCTTCCAATCTCATTTTTAATATTCATGCTTTTGCTTTCTATCCAAGGTCAGTTCCTTGAAGGTATTTAATCACTTAGAATACTAAAATTCTCAGTTTTTTATGGGATGGTGAATAATCTAGAATTTCTGTGTCAAAATACAATACTCTGAGAAGGAGAATTCTGCAGGCCAAAAAAAATGTGTACATCTTCTCTTCTTCACCCTGTATTCCCTTTTACTGTTGTAAACAAAGCAAAACATCTGTATTTAGAAAATCTCCTTAGAAATGAGCAACTGCTGTGGTGTACATACTTTTAATAAGTTTAACAAAACCCCTCCTCATCAGAAAAGAAATCTGCTTAACAGTAGTAGCAGTTTAATATTTATTTGGGAGGAAATCCAGATTCATCTTACGAGATGTAAGGTACCTGACTTCTTTTGAGGTTGCTTTTCCTTTACCACGTCTCCATGCTTTCCATTGCCCAGCCACTCTGCTGTGATTTCTGGCTCTTTTGTTTTTCTTGTGTGGTTAGGATCACTGCAGAGGTTATAAGAAGCTCAGAGGGGGTTGCACTAGCCTCCTCATTCTTAGCAAGAAAGTGACATTACACGGTAGGAGGAGCTGTTAAACGTTGCCATTTCCCATTGTGACCTTTGCCTCCTGATCTTTTTTGCTTTCTACATGCACTCTGCTCTCTCTCTCCCTCTCTCTCTCTCTTGTTCTCTCTCTTTCTTGCCTTACTGTCCTTATCCTAATAAAAAGGTTAAGTTGTTACAGTTTTATTCCACATCACAAGTTGGCTTTATAGTCCCAGTGATTCCTCTTTTCAGAGTTGCTATGAGTGAAAGGATTCTTTCACCATGATTTCATTCAATGCAGTAACATTGTGTAGAACCTGACACAGTCTTTTTGAATTACTGCAGATGTCCCACCAACAAGTCAGGGGGTGGACCACAAGCAGGTCCAGAGAGAACTGGGAAATGTTGTCCTGCACCTCCACAATCCTACCATCCTTTCTTCCTCTTCGATCGAAGTGCACTGGACCGTGAGTTGTTGCAAAATTTGATCTCAGTTTTAATAAGCAGGTGACTTGTGTGAGATCATTACATATGTAAAATTTAGCTATCTGTTGCCCACTTCTACACCACTGATAACTTTATAATGTAAGCGTTGTTTACTGTGGTTGCTATGTTCTGACTTTAAACAGAGAAAAGTTTCCTTTTTGTGTATATTTTTTTCTATTATGTTCTAATAGTGAACTTTAACAGTCTCAGTGGAAAGGGACAGTAAGTATTAACTATGAAGATGTCACGTGTGATAGGACCATTATCACAAGAATTTTTTAAACTTAGAAATATCTTTGAGTATTAAGTAGACTTTTAAAATCAGTCATAAAACACATTTTACTTCCTGTTCCCTTTACCCTGGCATGTTTCTAGATAATGTCTCAGAACTGCCATGATGCCTCACATTCCAGCATGAAGAATAGAAATTAATATCATAGAAATTAATATCACCTTACAAAAGATAATGGATTTTTTTTAATATTATACTTTTATGAATGAGAAAAACAGGGGGTGAAGCCAAATTAAATTACTTGCATTTTGTTATATTTAATTTTCATTATTTTTCAGTGAACCAATAAAAAGGTATGAATGATTGCATTTTCATTTGTCATCTGAATAGGTGGACCAACAGTCTCAGTACATTCAAGGATATAAAATTCTCTATCGGCCATCTGGAGCCAACCATGGAGAATCGGAGTGGTTAGTTTTTGATGTGCGGACCCCAACCAAAAATAGTGTGATTATCCCTGATCTCAAAAAGGGAGTCAACTATGAAATTAAAGCTCGTCCTTTCTTCAATGAATTTCAAGGAGCAGATAGTGAAATCAAGTTTGCCAAAACCCTAGAAGAAGGCAAGTAGGATAAAGTGTGTGATTTCTGTGTGTTGCTGTATACTTGTTAGATATAACAATTACAACTTAATTGAAATTGTTAAGATGTTAATAGTTAATAATTATTAAGTGTGTTGATATTGAATTTTATATTTTGTTAAGAGAATTTCTTTAATTAGAAAAGTAAAAAAAACAAAATTGACTTGCTTTCGTAGAGGCCTACATAAAAACGTGCACATGTGAACACTGTATTACTTAATGGCATATATGGGGTATATTTACTTATTATGAGGTATATTTAATTATTCAGAACTAAAATTTACATTTAAAGATGGAATTGTTTTCAATTTGCTTGCCTTTCCGTTCATTTACTGAATGTTAATTTTGATTAATGATTTATAAATAAAGTGAGTGATGTCTTGGTTTGCCCAGGACTTTCTGGGGTTAGCATTTTCTCCTTATGCCTCAGTTCTCTGGAAACCCCTCAGTTCTAGGCAAACCAGTATGGCTGGCCACCCAATAACTAGGAATCAAAAATTAATATTTACTACATAAAGGTAAAAGGCTACATGTAATAAGCATACTCTTAAGAAAAAAACAGCATTTCCCCTAACATGTCTTTGTCACTTTGACTATATAAATGATAGGATATGGTTAATATCATGAATGATTAGCATTCATCCTCACATGTTTGAACACTTTTAGGGAGAACATAAGAGTAGCGTTACAGGGTAGGAGAAATAGGCATTATCCTAAGATTTTTTTTAATATAATTTTGTTTATGGAAAATTTACAGTGGGTTAGCAATATTGAGGAAAACTTAAGCAGTTTGGGACTAGGCAGATTTGGATGAGATACATCTTTAAACATATGCACATATTGATATAATATTTATATAGATATTGTTGGATTTTAAGTATTAATTACTTGCTTTCAACGTTCTGTAATACTAATAATCTTCTTTTTTAAAACAATATAATAGCACCCAGTGCCCCACCTCAAAGTGTAACTGTATCAAAGAATGATGGAAATGGAACTGCAATTCTCGTTAGTTGGCAACCACCTCCAGAGGACACTCAAAATGGAATGGTCCAAGAGTATAAGGTAATGCATGTATATTAATTTACTGAGGGACACCCCCTCCATCCACAAAGAAAAAGCTGGTTAAATTGTTTTCTGGATATTTGGCGCCATCTGCTGGTCCAAGTAGCAACATGTAAAATTATTTTTAAAATACTTTCCTGTTTGTATTCAGAGATTGTAGAATAATTATTTTTGCTAGAAAAGCCATTTTAAAAGAGAGAATCTAAGTGGTTACAAAATATATATGTTCATCTAATTTATCACAAAACAACTAATTTAAATGCTAATAAAAATCTTTTTTCTGCTAAAAAATAGCTGAAATATATTTTGCAGAATTAGATTGCCTATGGAATTGGCTATGGGTCACATTCCATGTTAGCTTTATTTTTTACATTTTTTAAATTTTAGGACTTTATAGTTAAGTTGGAAAAACACTTTAGTGTGTATGAAAATCATTCTTTCTGTAAAAGAGGGTGTTTGACCTTATCTTATTAATGAATCTGCATTATAATCTTAATGAGCTATAATAAATGAATAATTGAAAGATTGAATCAGGAATACCCCAATAGAAAGTAGATTTTATGTGTACTTTTTTCAACACTTACATAAACATACAACATGCTAGAAATTTAACTGCAGAACCTGTACTTCTCTAGTGACTGATTTATATTTCTGTGATGCCTGAGTATTTTTCTAGTTACTAGCTAACTTTTGACATTTAGTAGATTATCTCTCATATGTGAGTATTTTAAACTGTGCCTGATGATATGATACTAATGTAAGAAGGTGGACACAGCTACCTTCTCCAGTGTAGGTCAGTGATTTTAATAACAGGCTAACATCAGAATCAATGTGGAATCATTTTCCAAATATGGATGCCTGCCCATCTCTCTCAGAGATTCTGATGCAGTTGGTCTTCCAGGGGTCTTTACATGTATATTTTGGTGATTCTGATGCAGTTGGTCTTATGGGGTCCTTACATGTATATTTTGATGATTCTGATATGCAGCCTTAGTTAAGGCCCACATAAAGACCATAAATGTTCTTCTGAATAGCAAATTAATTTGTAAAATAACCAGGTATCTTGAGCTTAATTTTAGGTATATTTTATTTTTAAATGTTTTTTTTAAATAAATTGAAAACATCCTTATGAAATTTGTATACATTAACAGGGCTACAGTTTTTAAAAAGTATTTAAAATGTTGTCATAAATGCACCGTGGATGTTTTAAAGTATTTCAAATAAGATTTCCTAGTGAAATTGAATCATTAAAAGGTAAAAGTCTCTATACTTTTAAATGCTTTTTCAGGAGTTTCAAGGTCATTTCGATACTGGGGAGTGACAGGATGCCATGTTTCAGTTCGGAAAAATAGACTGTTATAGAAGATTTTTAAAAATTTAAAATGAGGTGATTTCTCAGCTCTCAGGCAAAGTTGTGTAATGTAGGCATTTTCCCCTAAGAGTCAAAACTCATTTCTCTCCTGAACAAATGCAAAAGAGTGGATTTCACTTAACTTCATGGTCAATTTAAAATAATAAAATGCCTTTCAGAACCTGATTGACTGGTACAAAATCAGTTTGTGGCTTCGGTTCAGCTGCGTAATGTAATTGGGGAAAAAAATTCACAAAGGAGTCTTTACTTCCAAATGGTCAGATCCTGGTGTAGTGTCTGACCATTTGCTGGTGTTTGCATTGAAACTATATTAAAATAATACTAATTTTCAAAGAAAAAAATGAAAGGTTATTGCCCAAGTGATAGAGGACATGCTTATTTTAAATCCCATTTCCTATTACAGTTTAGACAATAGCCGACTTGAAGCTAATCCTACATATGGCTTGAGGACATCATAAAAAATATAGAGCATGTTTTACTACTCTGTGGATCATTTTTTTTATGGAAACTGAGTCCAAATATCGTCACGCACCGTATCCAAGTTCTTAAACATTGCAAAAGATCACTCTAAGATTAATCCCTTAATGAAATTTCATTAAGTCCTTGTGAATTAAATCCTCATGGATTATAGTGTAGTTCAAAAATGCTTGTTTCCTGAAAATAGTTTCCTTTCACAAATATAATTACCAAGGCTGATAAGGTACACAATAACTTTCTTACTAGAAGAATGTTTTTCTTTACAATCACATATGTGTTATGGAAGACTAATTAATATTCTCATTTAAGTATAAGATCACTGTACCACCAGCCGCCACCCAAAAACAAGAATACATGAATAAAAATAAGATCAGAGTGCTAATTTTCTCTTATTAATAATAATTCAACGTACCATAGGCTGAGTAAAATCCTAGGATGATCCTTACTCCTTGAGTGAAGTTTTATTTTTAATAACAATATTTACGCAAAGTACTTTAGATTATTCAGAAGCTCCACCTCCTTTTAAACCAACTGCTTCTTGGTTTAATGAGAAATGTGATGTCACAATAACAGTGCCAGGTAATCTTATGCCAGTAATTGTTGAAGTAAAGTACTAGACTTGTAGTTCCTATCCACCTGTTTTGCAATGCAAGATCATCTAGCGTCATGCCTAAGGGTAAAGTCACAATGACAGATAAGTCATTGTTTGTTATATGGATATACACAGCTTTCTGCAAGTTCCCTTTTTTTTTTTTCTGGCAAAAAATTTCTTGGTGTTAAAAAAGAAACAAAATGTAATGACATGAGCTGATAAAGAACCCTAATGATCTGGGTTCATAGGAACCAATATCTTCATGCAAAAATTTGTAAACTTACCAGATATAATTCTTTAAAAGTATGTGAGAAAGTATAAAGAGGTCTTGAAGCTACTACTAATACTAAGTTTGACTGGAAGAGTCTTCTCAGAACTAGGTTTTTGGGAAAAATGGCTTTTGAAACTTTCTATGGTAGGCTCACAGTAGGTCTGAACTCTGTGTCTAAAACCACAATCCTCTATTGATCTTTGGATTAATTTAGATAATTTACCAACTTGGCATTCGTGACATGCTTCTTACAGGTTTGGTGTCTGGGCAATGAAACTCGATACCATATAAACAAGACGGTAGATGGTTCCACTTTTTCTGTGGTCATTCCCTCTCTGGTTCCTGGGATCCGATACAGTGTGGAAGTGGCGGCCAGCACTGGGGCCGGGCCCGGGGTGAAGAGCGAGCCTCAGTTCATCCAGTTAGGTGAGTGTCCATGCAGACTCAGCTGCACAATCTGTCACTGCACCCCTTGTCCTGCTGTGCTGTTTTTGCATGTGGCCGAGCCACTGTTGCAGGTTGAATAGGATATGGAATGTGGCTTAGAGCTACCACAGTGATGTTAGCTTTATTTTAAACATATATGAGGCTACTCCCAAAAGTTCATGGAAAAATGGAATTTAGAGATAATATGAATATTTCCATGAAGTTTTTAAAGATCCCTCATGAATAGATAGATCTATAGATCTATACATATATGAATAAAGATTTAGATATCTCACAATTAAACTTAAACTTCTCCAAGCACACATTGTAGATGATATTTCAAGGAAAAGGCTGTCAATATTTATTGTCATCCTAATACCGTTCTACAGATTTTTTTTCGTCTATTCAACAAATACTGTTAATTGAGCACCAAGGATACCTCAGTGAACAAGAAAAACACACTCTACACCCTCATCAAACTCACTGTTGTCTGGATTTAAAAGAAAAAAATATTCATGCAAAACTTAAACTAGGTATTAAAAGTTGGAAGTTTATGGCAATGTGCAATTTATATTCACATTTAGTGTCTGTTTTAAAATTGTAATTACTTTTTATGATAAAATATAGATCGAGATGTCAAAGAGCATTGAAATATGTTTATATGCTAATTACTTAGAAAGTTGAATGAATTTGTGCTATAAAAGTGGTTAAATTAATTAAAAAGAAAATAACAAACCTGATATAGAAGACTTCATTACACAATTCCCTACAGGCAACATGGCATGAACATAAAACACAAATTAGCAAGTGATGACCAGTAAAAGCTAAAACAAACAACAACAAAATATTGTAACTGAAAAAAGTAGAGAAAAAGATCAGATGGGCAAAATTTAATTATGAAAGGCTCTGAGAAGTATATAGTCAACTTTATGTCTGTGTTTTCCAGATTAGAAGTTAAGCATTAGTAATATTTTATATCAGTTGCTAAATTATAAAAAAGAATAAGACGTATGAATCTTTATACTTCACAATTAATATTATTTTTGAATGTTAATAATAGGGATGACATCCTAGAAATTATTTTAAAATAAAATTAAGAAATATTGGCTTTAATAAACTTTGTTGCCATACATAATGAAATTCACATTCATTTTGAAATCAATGAATTGATGTGTCATTGTTCAGACAGTGCTGGCTGCTGTAACAGGTAACATTTGCAGAATCTGCGTCCTATACATGAACACAATTTTAGTCTACCAAAAGTCCTATGGTGGGGTGGGACTCTGTTCCACATAGACATTGAGGGTCACAGGCTGATGAGCCTTAATCTTTTTTAACGTGGGGCTTTCACGATTGATCCTGGGCCATCAGAAAGGAGCAAAGGAAACATATAGTCTCTGGGAGGATTTAAATGGTGCAGATGTGGAAACAGTGCTCAGTGTGATGGGAAGTAGATGAATGGCACATCACAAAAGAAGCCACTGACTGGGAAGCTACCATCACCACCTCTGTCCTGTGGAAGTTCCATTCAAGCCTTTAGGTGAGAGCTCGCTGTCCCTGTCACAGCCATGGGCTAGAACTTGATTTGGGGATTTATCTTTTACATTTAGCACATTTTAAAACAATGATTATATGCACAACTTTTAAACAAAACTAGCTTCATGGTTTGTTTCAAGCAATACAGGAAAGTATTAAAAAAATTTGCTTGAGGCTTCTGTTGTGATATATGAAAGATATGGAGGAAAACAGTTATATTGAGGACACAGTTGATATTCATATATGGGCCCACTTTTGCGAAATGTCAGTACTTATTAAAATTGAAATTGTAAGTGACATTGTGATGACCCTGCACATTGTTGATGTTGTTGATGTTACCTGTTTTTATAACATGTGACTTTTAGTCCTGGTTTTTGGAAAATAAATTGGAAAAAGGACCATATGTAATTTTATTTATTTAAGATTTAAATCATGAGTTTAAAGGGTTTTCCTGAAATTACAAATGCATTCCAGTTTTTCATATCTTAGTATAGCCTCAGCTGCAGTGAGACAAAGACTGAGACACAGAGTGGCTGTTTTAATTCATTAGTCACACTATGCTTTATTCTGTTAAACCCATCTGGTCACTTGCATGGAACCTCTCTTGGCTATTTCCATAAAATCTGAAGCTACTCAACTTAACCTTGCACAAATAGCCATGAAATCCATAAACCTAGCAGATACAATGGGTTTATTAGGAATAAAAAGAATAGGCCTGCTTGGTGAACTTTCAGAAGATGAAGTGCTCTTAGGATAACCAGAGGTAAAAGTGTTTGGAACATGAAATAAAACTTTCAGTCAACAAACAGCTGAAGGCAGGTGACTGCTTGTGAAAATAGGTTTTTCAGCCTTGACTCTCCGTAGAATGTAATCTGGAATTCTGTTCAAGAAAAAAGCAATTAAAAAAACCACATACACACAAAACGAGGAGGAATTTAGTCATTTCACACGAGTGCTGTTTTCCTAAAGGCTGTTTCCTTAGCCATTGAATGCCGCTTATTCTTCCTGCCAGCTGTCTTATCAAGATACAATATGATTTAATAAGAAAAAATAATCTATAGGAATTTTTTTTGTGTTTAAGTAACATTATTCATAGCTAATGAGTTATACAAATTATTTTTCTGGGAAAAAATGTATATTTGAACTGAAAATGTTTCTATTTTAAAGCAGTTTGTATTTCTCTCTCATTAAGTCTTTAGGTCTGTCTCTGCGGAGTGGCTATAAAATTTAGTCTGGCCTTGACAGGACTCCAGGGGATTTGGTTGTGGATGTTTACAGTGTGCCTTTCACAGGATATTCCTTTATCCTGGCAGGCAGCATAATGCCTACGTGTCCCTTTCACAGGAAATATGTTTATACTGGCAGATGCCCTTATGACCAGTTTATTCCTGCCAAGATGGCTCCTCTTTAAGGTAGCCTTGACTGGGAGGAAAGTTAGGGCCAGGTGAGTTGGTCACATGAGACACAGAGGAAGCAACACAACAAAAAGACATGAAATAACAGGAGCAATTTATTACTCACAGGTCCACGGGAGAAGAAGGGCGACTGTGAGTGCTGACTAGAAGGTGGCGGGGGTAATGACCTCAACTAGCAGTTGGGGAGCCAGAGAGAGACGACCTATGGGCTGAAGTCTTTACTGGTGTTCAGGGCATTACCCTAGCAGGTTTTCTGAAGGGAATTCTAATTGGCAGCTTCGTAGAGCAAACAGGTGTGAGTTCCATAGGGTCCTGCCGTCACTGCAGCCTATCTGCGAAGACCGTGTGAGGTGAGAGGTCAGGGGGCGAGTCAAGTAGGTTGTATCTTAATGTCCCATAGGGAGGAGGTCACCAGGAGGTGGTTACCTGGATCAACCACACTGAGGAACTGGGAAGAGGCAGAGAACTGGAAACTATGTCAAGATGACTACACTCTGCTTCTGGAATGAGAAAGTTAAACTTAGTTTCAAAATGGATACCAAGGCAACACAAAATTATAAGAATTCACTACAAGAATAGTTTCAGAATCTAATCCTTACCCATGGGGAAAATGTTCCAAGACCCCTAGTGGATGGTTGAAAACATGAATAGTATCCAGCCCTATATGTACTATGTTTTTTCCTATACATGCATACCTATGCTAAAGTTTGACTTATGAATTGGGCACAGTAAGAGATAACAACAATAACTAATAATAAAATAGAACAATTATTAATGATGTAAGATAATAAAAAGTATGTGAATGTCATCTCCCTCTTTCCTTCTCTCTCAAAATACCTTATTGTGCTCTGCTGTACTCACCTATTGTTGGACTGTGGTTGGGGCAACTATTATAATTGTAATAAAGCACTCATCCTATGGAAATGGGCAAACACTTTGTTTCACCAGATATTGTGGGGGAAGAACATTAAAACAGTAAACAGTAATGGCAATTCTGCTCATTGGGCATCCTCGGGTTGGCATCACTCACTGCCAACAAAATGGGATATTGCTTTGATGAGGATAGAGCCACAGCCTCCAGTTTTCTGCAAGGGCTTTGCAGACTGCTCTGTGACTTGATTCGTTGGTGGTCTTGAAAAATATTTCAGTGGCTTAAAACATAAATGTAATATAAGTAAATTTTATTAGCCATGTATTCCATCAATTTTTAATTCTTGGCTAACAGAAAATATAAGCCTTTTTGACTTTTCATCATACTTAATAGTGAGTTCTTCTACATGTTTAATGTTCTTTTCTTATAACTGTCACTGGCCATGGTTATTATTTTAAAAGAAATATTATTAATAGTTCTTTCAATGGTAACATTATCTTAATTTTTCATTGCCTTTTAATGATCCTGAATTTTATAAGCCTTTCTGAACGTGGTTTTAAATGTGTTTCTAAGACAGTTCAAGGTATTACAATACAGTCTTGGTAGAAATATACACATACACATACACACTTTTTTTTCAATATTTACTTTATAGAGGAAATAAAATTTTATATCTTTATTAGAGCGTATAGTTGAGGGTTCCTGTAGAAGTCTAAGAAAGTTTATATCTTTTCTATACATACTTATTCAATATGCCTTATTTATTTGTACATGAATTATTTGTATGTGAACTAAAGTATTTCATTTTTTAGTATTATATATTTTTTGCCATTTATCTCAGTTCATTCACACTGTCCTGTGACCTGCAGATTTTTCTGGATTAGAAAGAGAAATATTGTGCCATTGACTTTGTTTTTAAGTAAGGTCCCATAAAATTGGCACACTTGTTTTGAATTTAAAGAAAATAAATATGTTTGCAATTATGATGAAATTCTCATGAACTATTTTAATTAATGGTGATGGGTGGTACAGAATGGAAAACAGAAATCATTGTCCAAAAATTAACAAAGTAATGGCACCCATTTATGTCATATAAATATGCTGGCATTGTCATGTAAGTTTTAAACCCAAATTAATCAGAGGATGGTTTTCAGATTCTCATGGAAATCCCGTGTCACCTGAGGACCAAGTCAGCCTTGCTCAGCAGATTTCAGATGTCGTGAAACAGCCAGCATTCATAGCAGGAATCGGGGCAGCCTGTTGGATTATCCTCATGGTCTTCAGCATCTGGCTTTATCGACACCGAAAGAAGAGGAATGGACTTACTAGTACTTATGCGGGTATCAGAAAAGGTATTAACTTTCCTAAGTTTTTCATATTTTATATGTTTATAAAACTCTTAATTTTTGACTCCAAATTATTCATGATTATACATATACTATACTAAATTATTTTAATATATAAAGATTTTCAAAAGTGCTTTTATTTGTGGTATATACATATTAACTTCTCTTATGCGAAGCATTTCTAACAGATAGGGCTTATCAGTTTCTTAGGGCCCAGTTCCTTATTTAAAATATACTGCACCAAAGTAGGTCTAGACTGGCTGTAATACCATTCCCCTGTTCTCTTAGGGAATTATTTTATTGCTTTATATTATTGAGGGAAATTTTTAATCTCCTTGTCACAAGAATTATAAATACAGGCTTTGAACTGTCTCACTGAGTTTTAAGGGGGAGCATTGTTGCTCTTTGTGAAGCCAAAGAGAGAATCCTGCCATTTGATTATTTATAAAATAGTCCTTTCTTAGTGAATATGGAATGCATGATTCAGTGAGGTGCTTATGCTTGGGATGAGAAGAGGTTTAGTACCTTTTTATTGTTATATATAAAGGTGCTGAATTGAATATGTGCATGTTAATTAGTGATGGTGATTTTGTGACAAATGTGTTTACAATTTTAGAAAAGAAAGTGTACTTGGCTGCTATTATTTACAATTTTAAGGATGAACCAAAAATGTCAAGGTATTTCACAGATACTTTGCTACATATGCTCAAACTCTGTAGATTGGTGATCTGTATTTTTTATTCTCTGAGGAGAGTGTTAACACTGTCAGATAGATAAACCTTCCTGTCCCCCCAAAACACTCACCAACTGTTTACCTCTGATCTGGGCTATATGTTGCGTTGCTGTAAGTCTCAGTTTTCAGGGGACAGTCCCAGTTCATGTTTTTAGCCCAACAAAATTATTTCTAGTACTCCTTTTATGTCTGAAAATCATCCTGGTTTAGATGACAAGTTATATAATCACCCTAATTATAGAGCCTTTCAGTCTAATACGATAGTTCTGTTTTGCTGCAAAGCAAATTTAAAGAGGATTGCCAATAAAGATGTCTTCTCCCTCACCATCACCATTTTTTTTTTCCTAATTGTCTTAATATTTCCTAAGTAAACATTTCCTACACATCTTGGCCAGGTCTTTCTCTGACCAATTATATGACAAAGTCAGAATTTTCAGTGCTAGCTAGAACTTGAATGTTCTTTTGCATTTATAAAACAGTCTGGGACAGTAGTCTAAAATATTTGTGCTCTCGTTCACAAGGAGTCTTGGCAAGAAAGAGTCAACACAAATTCATCATCAATACTGTAAAAATAAATCTGCGTGCCTCCTGCCTGTGGTTCAGTAGCAATCTCTCCATGGACATACATTTGCCTTAGCATTATCCTTACGTATGTTTTTTTCAGATATGTGTCCTATGTAGAGATGAAGCAATATGTCAGTATCCCAGCCTGTGAAATGGAAAATGAGGGCTTGGAGGTTACTGCAGAGAGAACTGGAGCTCATTACATATACAAAGTAGAACAATGCCAGGCACATGTGTTACCATATAAAACCTTTGACTAAAATCAGTGCCAAGAAAGGGTTTGTGGGTGTCTGTCTGTGGCGGAGCAGGATGGGGTAGGGTATTGGGGGTAGACTATGTTTTCAAATCTGATTTGAATGAAGAAAAGTGACTAATTAACATATAAATGTGAAGTCTCTTGGATTCCATTCAAAAGACCTCCATCATCAATTCCATTTTGTCAATAGTCAGGGGAATCCTATATTTCCTTATCATGATGAATTGCCATAGCTGTATGGTTATAACAATTTAATGCTCTATATTGTCTTGAAATCTAAAAATGTGACATGAAACTCTCCTTCCTTTCTGAAATGTTCCTTTTCCTTTACTAATGTACTTTGAGCATGCTGACAAATGCCTGTATGCTCTTTCTGCAAAATCTATTAAACTAATATCATTGTCCTTTCAACTACCTTGTGTTTCAGCAGAAATCATAGAACATAATTACAAATGTAATTTGATGAGCATTTCATTCTGCTTTCCTCACTTTGTCCTGTTGGCACTTTTTCATAATTCTGTTTCTATGCAATTAAAAAAAAAAGTGCATTTTTGGATCTTAAATTTTCTATGCCAAAAACAATGCTGGTAATCTTAAGAAAAAAGGAATTTAAATATTTTAAAGAAATAAATGTAAAAGAGCTTATTGACCTATAAAACATCAAGCCAGAGTGTGACTTTGGGTAATAGTGAGCATTTTTAACATTTGTGCCCTACGTTTAGCTGTAGGTGTGACATCTGCTGGAACACTCAGTACCCATTGTCCACATACAATCACGTGTTACCCCAGTATCACCGAGTAGACAGTTTATTACATTATTGGAAGCTTTGAGAATTAAGTTGTTCTTTGGTGTGCTAGTGGTGAAAATTTCATTTAGACTGACCTCTTTTCATCTTTTCTTCAATTCCTCAAAGTGAAGTTAGCAGTTTGCTAGGAGAAGTAATGACAAGGACCTTTCATATTTTCCTGGTGCCCTTGTGATTACAAATTAATGTTTAGGCACTCAATAGCTTTAGTATCAAATGTACCTTTTTAAAAAAAAAATTTATGAAGACTTGTTACTATGGCTCTGAATTTTTGAATGTAGCTAAATTACATTGACTCTCTGAAAAGACCTGATGGAAAGAAAACACAATAGAATTCTTAAGACAGGGACTGCTGTGCTGCAAACGAAGGCCAGTGTATAAATTGAGTGCACAGAATTGAGGTTTTTGTTGTTGTTCTTTCTAGTATGCTCAGAGATAAAGTGGTTTGGTAAGTGACAGTTGTAGAGGATACTGTGGCTTTCCAGTTTATAACCCCAGATGCTCTAATCCTTAAGTAAATGTCTTAGAGATGTTCAAATTTGAAATGGAAAATACATTTTTGGCAGCTTTTTGACACATGATAAGTAATCAATATTCTAGTTTGTTTGCATTAAGGAATTTTTTTAAAGCCAACTTTATTTTGAAAGGGAGTAATGTAGATTTCCCAGCTTTCTTTACCAGGGCAGCGTTTCCTTTAAATTAACACGAAGAGACTGGAAAATGAGTCATTCTCCTTCCTCTATGAAATGACATGGTAATTGCTCTGGTGTTATCCAACACTCAGGAATGGGAGAAAATAGGAAAAATGGGGGAGGCAAGGCTGCTACTTTTGAGGTCTGCAGTTCAATTTCAGGCATTATTGATTAGATTAAGATTTATAACTGCAGAGAGAGTGAAGGTTTGCAGAGGGGTGTTATTGTTCTATTGTTTAGCTTCTACTGTGGCATTTAAAAAATGATCATCCTACTTCTAGAACACTTCTAAATGTAAACCAGAACAGAGAAAATAAAGTTTAAAACCCCGTATTTTTCTGTCCATTCATAAATTTTTATGATGATAAAAATATAGCATTACACTGTTGTTGTGGTAAGATGTCAGGCATTTCTTCTCAATGAAACAATTCGATTTTATTATTCTCTTTGCTGCAGTCCCTTCCTTCCTTCCTTCTTTCCTCCCTCCTTCCCTCCCTTCCTTCCTTTTTTTTCTTTCTTCTTCCTATCTTCTTTTTTTTCTTTTTTCATCTCTCTTGATGATAAATACTTAAGTGCACCTATTAGTACACTTTAATAAGCATTTACTTTCAGATTCCTAGATAAGGTCCCAGCAAGACCCTGATAATACTTGTTTAAAAATCCATCATCTAGTGTTTGGAAATGATTAATAGTGGAGGATTCCTGTTTGTGCTGAAGCCGTGAGCTAAATCTGCAGGTTACTAAATGCAGGGTCATTCTCAGGCTAACCCAGCACCATTCCCCTCCTGAGACTACTAGAATGTCAGACACTTCAAAATGGTACCTGTAGAGACAAGCTCCTTTTTTAAACCTCAGATTTGGTTTTATTCGTATATCAGAGTGTCAGAACTACTGGCTTAGTTATTTACATTTGTTTTATGTTCAGCTGTCTGCTTGGTTTATACTAATGTGATATGTTCCCTTTCTCTCTTCAGCTTAATAACTGGTTCATATTTTGTTTTGATTTTTCAGTCCCGTCTTTTACCTTCACACCAACAGGTATATATTTGCACTTACACTCCTCCTTTTCTTTGTTAGTTTGGCATGTGTTGTACTATTGTGTTTCTGTTTTTATTTCGTTTTCCACAGTGAGTTGGGGGAAAGGACTTAAAATGGAATACAATCCTTCATGTCCTCATGCCAGGCATGCATTTGAAGTAGAAATGGTTGGTGTTGCTTTTCATCCACTTAATGCAGTTATTTATTCATGACTCCACATTGCATCTCAGCCTTGTTTGCATGTTTTTCATTAAATAGACACACTGTTTCTACCCTCAGCATGATTTAACATGCTAATGGTCTTATTGATTATTTCATACTTGGCAATGCATATTTTTCCCCTTAACTTTAGCTTTCAGGTTTTGGAACAAAAATATCCCTCCCTTGTAATTCTCTGTCCTTAGAGTCAGTATTCTTAGAAGTAGCCAAAATATCCAGCACACGTGAAAGATAAAACTTTTCATTTTCCTTAAGTCAAAATCCTAATATTTTGTTCTATTCAGTTTCTTTTAAAGTGGGTTCTCTTCTCTCCCATTACCTCTAGTAAAAGATGTACCTGCAGTTATGCCTCCTCAGTTTTAATCCAGTTATTGTAATCGCTAGGCACAGTTATCTCTCCCTAACACACTCTCAGTTTGGAGTTCTTCTAAGTAGCAGACTTTGGCAGCTTTTAAAAACACATTTCTCCTTAGAAAATATGTCTGTATTTATAGAAAAAAAGCTAATCTTCTTAACCCCTTGCCTAACTATGTGCAAATCTTTTTCTTGTTATGGCTAAATTTTTATACCCAAAATTTATTAAGCTGAGAATACTTTCAAGAGCTTTTAAATATATTTTCATTACATATACATATTTGATGAAAAGATAATGAGAAAAGGTTTATACATGCCACAATAAAAAATAGGTTGCATTAATTGTCACAACTTGGCATACATTTTTGTGTGTGGAAAGAAGGTTTATTTTCACATTTGTCTCTGTCTTACTTATACTCATACTTTTGGGAAAATAACCCAGTAGATTCCCTCCCCCCCTGAACATAAGGTTACACTTGTACAAAATCATGAAATTCTATGATCTAATAATAAATTAAAAATACAAATCTATGGGAATGCTAATATACAAATATGTAATTGTTAGATTTAATAAGAGTTTACTGAAGTTTTGCTTTTGTTTCATTCTCAACCTTGCTGGAACATTAATAAAATAAGAGTGATGTATACTTAATTCTATGCAATCTTTTAAAAAATGACTAGTTGAATCAGGAGACTGCTATGTCCTGTGATGATTTTTGCAATGCTGCTAGGTAGGAAAGGAGGAAAAAATTCCATTTTAGAGAGATGTTCATGAATGCAATAGTTTTTGATACATAAACATGTCTGTTAATTCTTTCTTTATTTTATTTTTCTGTAACATTCTAGTAACATATCAGAGAGGAGGTGAAGCTGTGAGCAGTGGAGGAAGGTAAGATTGTTTCGTAGATCCTAAGGGGAATTCCAAATATTTCTTCTGGTCTTCCTCAGCGACACCACTTGCTTTGCTTAAAAGGTTGAACTTAAAGGTGAAATTTGTTCAAATACTTTAGAAAGACTCCATTCAACTGTGCTGTTGAACCAGGCTATTTACACACAAACGCAGTTATTGATCTGAGCGGTTGCATCTTAGTCAACGACCACGAGAGGGAGCACTTCAACCGAGAAAGACAGATTTGCTGATTTAGCAGATGATTAAAAGGAGTTAGAGTGATGAAGCTGCAGCATTTATGAAGATTAAGAAATATAGCTAGTTAACAGATACTATCAAAGTAAGTGTTCATCTGGAAACTTTGCTGAACGCTGCAGTTTCTCATAAGTTGTAGGTTATGTTTGTTCTTGTTATGAATTCAACAGAGTTTACATCTCCATTTGCAGGGAAATATGTTGAAATAAAGAAAGAAATCTAGGTAGCTTGTTAACAAAGAGCTTTTTTTTTTTCTCTAATTATAATGAACCTCAATCCTATACTTATTTTTTTTTGGTAATTATTATTCAGTGAACTTTAATATATTCACAGAGAAATCACAAATTGGTGTGACAGGCGGCTTAAAGGGGCTGAAATAAGGTATAAGCCAACCATCAGGATTTTCCACAATACGGTGATTTTTCTTTTTTTTCAAAACAGTAACATCTAGCTTAAAGTGCAAGAAAAAAAAATCTTCCAACCAAAACCATTTTATAATTCAAATTCAATTAACTTATTGAGTGCCCTTTTTTTAACAGTTGGATAATGAGGTTGTTGTAGAAAGACAAAAATGAGAAAGATATTATCCCTACATCCAAGGAGTATGCCATCTGATAAGAAAATTACTGAATTTAGTATAAAACAAGGAATAATTTTTTTAAATGTTGGGAAAAAAGTATTGACCACCTTAAGTTAATGTAATACAAATTTGGCAACAAGCGCTAATCTTTTCTTTCCTGGGTACTGCTAACTTCCTGTTTTCATGCCTGTGAAACAAAGCCAGCCACTGAAAGATCCAAAAACTAGGGAGTCTTCGTAAAGAACAAATCTACTTGGTTCAGGAATTAAACCAGGGCATGTTTTTGCATCCAGGGGAATTCCATCTAAATCACAGCCCAGATATTCATGAAAGAGCCTCTGGCATAAGAACATTTTCTCATGGGTAAATCTAGAATGCCTGATTGTGCAACCACCTCTCTACGTGTGTGTATTCATAACTGTACACCTCAGCTTTCTTATTAATCAAAGCATATGAAAGTGCTTATGGAGCATCTTCTATATGTTCTGTTCTAGGCTCTGTACATGTGCTCATGTACACGTGCTCACACATACATGCACACACATAAAATATAAGCCTAGTTCCTGCTCTAAAAGAATTTACAACCTAGGTAGATTAAACTATCACATGAGAAACCATGGTGGGAATGCATAGGTAGCAAATGCTAATTTGTACTGCAGGACTGAAAAATTACAGTTTCTCAACTATCTATTTGGAAAGCTCACTAGATGACAATGCAGACATAAACTATTGAATTTAAAAATAGAATCCTGACATAACCTTTGAATTTAAAAATAGAATCCTGGCAGTTAAACTTATTTATTTCTAATACTAAATAGAAATGATCATTTTCCTGAATGAAATGATAAAAGATGCTGAAATATTACAAAGGCAACAGTTAAATAGAGATCTTAGAGTGAGTGCTCAAAATGACATATACACAATGTTAAATTTATCTATTCATTAAATATACTGAACACCTACTATGCAGCAGGCACTGTTGTAGTTGCTTGGAATGTGTCTGTGAGCCAAGTGGATAAAAATTCCTGCCCTTGTAGAACTTACATTATATAGTGAGGGAGATAGAATATGAATAATAAACATTTTTTAGGTCAACTGTGTAGTACCAGCAGCTGATAAGTACTCTGGAACAAATAGAGCAGGATAGGAAAGATGTGGTGCATTAGGAAGAAGCCCCATTCCTAGCCACGGGTGAGTATGTGAGTGTATGTCTGTGTTTTGTGAGCCTGTGAAAGGCAAGCCAGACTCCTGCACTGGCTTCTCCTGTGTCCACCCTTCAAGCACTGGTTTTCCTCATGCATCTCAGACTCTGAGTCCTCACCGGACCTCCCAGCTCACTAATGAACACCTAAACCCAAACCTTCCAGTCATCCTCTTCCACCTCCGTCTCCATTACTGCATCTTGTTGATCTTAGCTCTTACCGCCTTCACCATCACTCTATTGTTTCACTTCAAGCACTCATTCCCCCTCGCTCATCTATGGCAAAAGCCCCCGGCAGTCCTACTTTCATCTACCTTCATTAGCTCTACATCCTGCTGAGTTCCTTTGCCCACTGGAGCCAGAATGATCTTTTGAAATGCATACTGATCATGTCTCTGAGCTGCTGAAAATTTCATTTTCAATAGGACCCACCCTGTTTAAATATCAAATTAAACTTGGCATGGCATGTGAAACCTACAAACTCTGGGGCTTCCCAGACTCACTTCACACCTCTCTGTGGCATATGCTACAATCCATTGTGTCAACCCACCTGCTCTTCGCCGATCTCGTGTCCTCATACGTGTCCTTACTACACTATGCGTGTGTTACATCAGCCTGGAATGTCTCACCACCCACCGCCCTTTGTCAGTTTATTGAATTTCACCTGCCGTGTCCTTCATAAACTGTGTACTGTGGAACTACCACCAAACATGAGGTAATGCTATTATCTTTTGTTTATACCAGGGGTCAGCAAATTATGGTGCTTGGGCCAAATCCAACCTGTGACCTATTTTTGTAAATAAAGTTTTGTAAGAATACAGCCAGGTTTGTTTGTTTACATATTGTCTAAGACTGATTTTGAGCTACCATGACAGAGTTGAGTAGTTAGGACAGAAACCATATAGCCTGCAAAGCCTTAAATGGTTATTATCTGGTCCTTTACAGAAAAAGTAAGCCACCTTCTGGTGTATATGATTTCCTCTGACAATAGAATGTGAGATCCTGGAGTATAGAGATGAAATAGTTTATTTACCAACAAATGGATTTTTTGTGATGTAATAAATATGATCTTTGAAGATGTCATCAGTAAGTGTCTGTGAAAGCAATAAATTAGTTATCGAATAAATGAATGCTGGAAGACCTGAGTTCAGTTGTTCATGACTTTAGAGAAAATATTTGGGGCTGTACTTTTCTAATTAAAGAGAATTTCATTTAGAAGTCTCTTCTATTTCTTAAAATTGTAAAATTGTAAATAAATTGTAGTTATTCCCAGAAAAGAGAATGAAAATTATGGTACACAAAGAGAAATCTCCCTCACTTGAAAAGGGCTAAGAATTTGTGAGGTAATACAGAGGAGGATCATAGAATTAGTAGCTGTTCCTATTCAGTTCTTTTCCTCACCTCAAATATCCCAGCCGCCTTTTCCAAAAAAAAAAAAAAAAAAAAACCTACTTAGCACCCAAGCCACAGCATAAACCAGGGAAAAGCAGAGGAAGCCAGCAAAGTGGGGAGGAAAGTCAGGCTAACCTGCTAGAGAATGTCAACACACATTTCCTATCAGTGGCAGGTGAAAAAGAAATAGAGCTCAAGGATTGTTTTTCTTCAAAATATTGGCCACTCTTAGATCTGTCCCTGGCCTTTAAAGCTCATTCAACCCATCAGTGGGAAGAGGAGACAGCCTATAGCCTGACAACCTTTACTGCCTGGCTCCGTCAACATTGTCCCCACCTCCTGCACCCATAGTATCTTATTTTGTGGGTTAAGCAATTCAGATAAGTTTCTTGAAGTGAGTGGTTGGAATATCTGAAGTATGAAAAGAGGAGGGATTGAAGGTGATTGCCATGTAATTATTAAGGTGCTTTTACCCTCTTTTCCTTCGTGACACAAATCTATCCCCTTAATATATTATATGATAACATTGTATAGTAGTATTTTAGACACATGTTAATCACTGTAACCAGCAAGTGTTTTGCTTCTGCTTTATGTCTTACTCTTGGGCAGCTAAAAACAGTCTCATACACATTAGATAAGCTTAAATGTATAAAGGTAGCCTGTGAAATTGTTAGTTTAAGCAGACCCTAACATCCTTATCAGAGTAGCTGCATATGACCTCGACTTCCTCAAAGACCTCTGAAATACATACGTGGCATTTTAAGTTTCACTATGGACCAGTCAAAATAGCTCACCTTTTCCCTTAAATAATAATCACTCCAAACTCAATCTAAACAGAAAACGAGGATGTAAACTGTTAATCCTACTTCGTATTGGAAATTACCGAAATACATGAAAAGTTCTCTCAGCCTATGAAGCTATCAAAGCATTCACTGTAGAAGTGTTTTTCAGAGGGAATTAGAATAGCATAAAAATATCATCTATTCCTTTTGAAACATGTAAGTCAGACTGGAAAATTTCCACTTGACCTCTACTTCAAACATCCTGTAACCTTTCTACAGTGTCAAATATGGAGTTTTATGTTTAATAATTTCAGCAGTGATAACACACATGTTTTAAGCTCAAGGAAAAATAAAATAAGAAGGCTAAAGATTACTAGATGCAGAATTTCTATAACTAACATCTACTTCAAGAGCTCCAGATATCTATGGTACAGCTGGCATTTAAATGTTTAAGATTTTAAGTTCAGCAGTATTGCTCTTCAAAGCATGTTTTTATCAATAATTTTAATAGTATGTTGGCTCAGTTTTAATAGCTTTATCTTGAATTTCAAGACTTGAGACATTTTATGCACTCTTCTTTTTATTAAGAATATTTGAGAGTTTCAGGAAATTTCAGCACTCTCCCGTATGGATGTTTATAACATCCTAGATCAGAGTGTGGACTCTAGGGCTGGACTGCTTAGGTTTGAATCCCAGCTCTGTAACTAACTTACTTTGTATAACCGTGCACATGTTTCTTAGCCTCTCTCAGGTATCTCAGTTTCCTCACCTGTAAAATTTGGATAATAACAGCCCCTACTTTCCAAACTTGTTGTGATGATTGAGTTATACATTAAAGACCTTTGAACAATGCTTCACACCTTGGAAGCAAAGAATAAATATTCATTTTTATTACATTAAAATATATACACACTATGTGTACAGATATATGAATTATAAATCCACATTTTTCATTTGCATAAAGTTTTCTCAGTTGACTTCCTATGTGGCAGAATGGGAACCACAGAGAATGAATTGCCAGGTTTGTGGTCCCCTTGTGCATGAGAAGCACAATTGTTGCACTTTAACCAAGAAAATGAAACCACGAAGAAAGCCTTTGCAGTCTATAGCGCCAGTCTGTTGACTGCGGATCAGACAGCACACAATTTGTCATCTCCTTTTTTGCTGAATTATCACATGGATTAAATGTTGGAAAAGGAAGTGAAGGAGGCCACCCTTGGTTTCCAATTGGAGTCCCTGGCACTGGTGGTTTAGGGCTCCCATGAATAACTACCCACATACTTTGCATTCCCATCACACAGTGAAAGAGGATTAACATCTTTTGTGCCAAAAAAAAGCATGAATGCTAATATTTCTTTTGTTGGACATCTTCGTTTTCCCAGATTAAACTCAGTAGCCGTCTTTTGCTTATGAAAGGCTTATCATGATCAGAAAATGTGGACAAGCAGGGCCGGCCCGGTGGCGCACTGCTACAGTGCGCCGCTTGGGAGTGTGGCGGCGCTCCCGCCGAGGGTTCGGATCCCACATACAGACCGGCCGCTCACTGGCTGAGCGAGGTTGCGGGTGCAACACCGAGGGTTGCGGTCTCGTTGCCGGTCCCGGTCCGGTACGGGCGCGACACTGAGGGTTGGGATCTGTTGCCGGTCACGAAAAAAGACAAAAAGGAAAAAAAAAAAAAAAGAAAATGTGGACAAGCATACAGAACTGTGCACTGAAACATGGATGAGGCTCAGTGCAAAATGTCACAGAGCCCCAAATGCACTATTTCTGAAATGTGGTTTTGAAGAAACATGCAAATATATGCTTAATTTGAAGGATCCATTATTGAAGTAAAGGAGTTCGTTCCATTTTTTAATGAAGTTGTTAAGATGAATTATAATAGCTAATGGGTCAAAAATGAAGAAATGCAAACTGTCCTAACTCCGGTATTCTCATCTACTAAAAAGACTCAAAAATATGTGTATACGTGTTTTCAGGTTCCATATCTGATTTCTAATCAATATGACTAAACATGGAGTAGAACATTGCAAAGGGTACAAGATTTTAGGTCTGAAGCACAACTCTGCCAGTTTATAGTTATGGCTTTGGAAACTGAGGCACATCCTAAAACATTATTTTATAGATGCCTTGTCTACAAAATAAACAGAATAATAATATCATTTATCATAGTTCACCAAATTTTTTGTGAGGAAAATGAGATGAAGAAATTGTTGGAATTCTGAATAGAAAATGACATTTTGGTTTTTATGTATTTTTGTCTTAAATATGTGTTTTTTAAAATTTATGTATTTTATGCTTTTTTTTTCTTAACAACTTTTCTTAAATAGCTTTTATGTATTTTTTTAGATTTTAATCACTTTTGCTTTTATGTATTTTTTTTCTTTAGGCCAGGAATTCTGAACATCAGTGAACCTGCCGCGCAGCCATGGCTGGCAGACACGTGGCCTAATACTGGCAACAACCACAACGACTGCTCCATCAATTGCTGCACGGCCGGCAACGGGAACAGCGACAGCAACCTGACCACCTACAGTCGCCCAGGTTAGGCACACAGAGAAAGCCTGATACGTATAAGCTTTATAAGGAATCAGCCAGCAGGGAATAAGTCTGCTTTTCCTTTCCCTTCATGGGAAGGGGAAATTTGATCAATATGTTCATGAAAGGTTGACTCTTGTTTAGCAAACTAGACTGATTCAAGTATTTTCTCCATCCCTAAACCTTCATACCTCACCTTCCACCAAAAAAATTTTCCTAGAGACTAGAGAATATAAATTCTAGAATAGATAGCAGATAAGGAAAAATGAAATTATGTAAAAGAATTTATCTTTATTAGAATGTGTGTAATTATAATTTTAATTCTTTAATTATTTATAATATTGAATAATATTCAAGATTTGGGGAACAATGCCAAACAAAACGTTAATAAATTTATATTTAGAGTGAACCAAATTCTTCAATAGCAATAATAATAGTAATAATAGTACAACAGTAATATAAACTTTAAATAAAAATTAACTGAAATTTTAAATCAGATTTTATAGTATAGAAGTTAATCCTGAGGACCCTACACACACACACACACACACACACACACACACACACACATCTTTTGCAGGTGTGTAGGCATACGTTTATTTTCTGTTGCATATTTTTGGTTCAGAAATATGGGTGAGTAAATTATTTTGATAAAATTTTATGCCAAATCATGAGCAAAAATAAAAGGAATGTGGAGCATGCAACATTTAAAGAAATTAAAAAGAATTAAAATCACAAATGATTTCTTACAAAGCGAAACAAAAGCCCTTCTATGTTCACAAAATAGGAAACGTTAGAATTGTAAAGAATCAAAGGATATGACTATAGAAGTAAAATAACCCATGGAATTAAGGAAAAGAGAAAGATAAGATGGCATTTAAGTAAAGATGTCATGTGCTGTAAATAACAAATTGGAGCAATCTGTATGTCTACCCTTAAAACAAGTCCTGAGTCACCACTGGATGTGGATATGACATGTCCATGTGACCAGGAATCCCAAGGTCCATATTCTAGTTGTCCAGACAGATAGATACTCACAAAATCATAAATAAAAGGAAGACAAAGACCCATAGGAGAGAAAAAATGCTGTTACCATTTAAATTAAATGTAGAGCTGCATTATTCAATATGGCAGCCTCTGGCCACAGATGGTATTTAAATTTAAATTGATTAAATAAAATACAATTTAGAGTTCAGTTCTTCATTCACACTAGCCACATTTCAGGTATTATGTAGCCATATGTGGCGAATGGCTGCTGTATTGGACAATACAGATTAGAATGTGCCCAACATCTCAAAAAGTTTTCTTGGTTAGCACTCATACAGAAAGATTGGCAAAACAAAATGAGTTTGCCAAAACCATACTGGCTTTGGGTCGGCCCGTGGCTCACTTGGGAGAGTGTGGTGCTGATAACACCAGGGCCACAGGTTCGGATCCCTATGAAGGGATGGCCGGTTAACTCACTTGAGAGAGCGTGGTGCTGACAAGACGAAGTCAAGAGTTAAGATTGCCTTACCGGTCATCTTTGCGAGAAGCACTGGAAACCACCCGGACAGCAGAAGCAAGAAGTGGCACCAATTCAGTATAACATCATGGAGCAAAACAAACTGAACAAAGGTGAAGTGTTCTGGGCTGATTCCTGTCTTTTTCTGTATTGATCCTCTAAGCCCTTCAGCACTAGGTGTCGAAACTAGTCCACAACTAGAAAGTAAAATCTTTCTCTTGTTACTAACATTTTCTTATTTTTTGGTTTCAAACTTTCCAGTGTCAAGGAGTTAATTAGCACAACAATAACCTTGGAGAATTGATTTTGAAATAATATATAAGTATTTTCATATGGCTGCGAGATTAATTTAAATTTAATAGTAGGTGAGGGATTGCTTAGGACAGACAATCTTTTATTTATAAGGCAGATATACAATCGTCACCATACCTTACATTTTCAATAAATAGGCTAACCCATTCTTTCCACTTGAGGATGAAAGATAATTGCTTCTACCTGGTCATATAAAGGAATGGCATTTTTATATCAAACCGAAGAAAAATAATTAGGTTAAATTTAGACTGTAGAAGTGGTCCAATTTCTTATATTTCTCCTACTTCATGTGGTTACTAAGACTGCTGTGATATATAATTTTAGAACCTATATTTCTTTGGTTGACCTGATTGAAGTCCGTCAGTATAGAACCTAATATAAATTGAATTTAGTATTAACTTGAAGCAGCAGCATAGTATTTTATGGCCTAAAGGGAATGTTTCTCTATTATAATATGTGTGAGTTGGAGGAGATAGTATTTGATTTCTTTGTAGTCCTTCAGGCTACTGCTTTAATAACATGATTTGCAAAGTTATACCTCTAGGAAAAAAGTGGTTGCTGTAGTTTAAATAGATGGGGCAACATTGTACAAGTAACCAGGTAGAGAATACAGGTAATTAGAAACATAGATTTATTTTATTTAGACTTGAGTTGGGAACATTTTCTTTAAAAATAAGACATTATATATAAAATAAAATGCTACAGTTGGAGCTTACAAAAAGAAAACAAATGTTTAATTTGATTACATTAATGCTATATGTTTTAATATGACGTTAAAGTCATCAAGCCTTTTCTCAAGTTTAAGAAAGCACTGGATTGGTATAATAACCCAATTTAATAAATATGTATTAAGACTCCTGCATAAGTTCATGACAAAGGCTGACAAAGATGAATGGGATGTTTTCTGCAATTGTGGAGTTTACAGTGGAGATTCAAACTATTGTCACATTATTCCTCCATAGTGTGTGGCTTTACTGTGGCAGTCCTCTGTACAAATATTTCAGAACTCTGATTTATTGTTTATACTGCTTGTAAAAAGATTTGGTATGACAGACTGTAATAAAGACCCTGGAATCCACCTAGACTGACAGATTATTGCTGACTACATTCCAGTGGCGAGCTTATCGTTTGGATTTTCACCTTTGCCTAACTAAGCAGAAGCACTTTTGAAGCAGATTAAGATTTTTTTTTTCTTATCATGGATATATTTTTATTAGATATAATCTTGCTGACAAGTTTCAGTTTTATTTTTTCGTTTTGTTGTCATTTATTTTTTATGGTTTACAGACTTGATATTTTCATGATTTCTTATTGTTAAAACTATTTTTTTTGCTATATTTTGAAGTTTTATATATATCCATTTGGAGTATAAACCTTTTTATATCCTGACAAACTGAATATAAAATTAAAGAGAAAACAAGACAAATAAATGATCCAATAAGTTTCTTGAATTAGTCAGAAATATAGATAAAGAGAAGTGATACAACTCACACAGAGAAAATAAATGTTTAATTTTTTTCCATCTGAAATGTCTAGATTATCGAGCAAATGATACAATTCCTCCAACCATCCCATACAACCAATCCTATGACCAGAATACTGGAGGATCCTACAACAGTTCAGACCGGGGAAGTAGTACATCTGGTAAGTAAGGGGCCCAAGAAAACGTCAACCTCTCCTTAAAAAGATGGTACGTTCCAACATTACAAATTTGGTGCTAATGGACTGCTGTATGTTGGTGACATGTCTAATCACTTTATGTAATTTCAATCCCAGGCATGGGTCTTGTCTCTGCAATTTGAGAGACTGAACACTCACTAAACCATATTATGTTCTATTTGGTAACAAAAACTGAGCATCCTCTTTTCCTCCTTGTTAATGAGCTTTCATAAAGCTGAAGCATGAACTAATCTTTAAAGGCAGTTGAAACTTCTTTTTTCTCCCTGGGCCAAAGTGTAACTAAAAATGTTGCAGATATAGTTCATCTGCTAAATATGTTACTGTTTGAAACTAGGCTATTAAAGTACATATCTGAGAGCCCTTGAGCAAATAAAAAGCCTAAGAGACAATAACACGAGATCCAGGTGCAGTAGGAACCTGTCTCAGTTTATAATCTCTCTACAGTCTTTCAGTTCTTGCTCTGAAAAGTATCCTTCCAGCCTCAGTCTGTAATTGCCTCAGAAGCCACATTGAACCTTCTTCCCTGTGGTCTTCATGCTGTTGCAGCTGTTTGCCAGCTGTTTTCCTGATAGGGGAGGCAGATGGGAGCTTGCTGGTACTTAAGTCCTGTTTTTCTCATTAAAGGCGGTTCATTATTATAACTAACGTGTGGCAAGTCAGACCACAATGGGAACAAAACTGATTGATCTTGACTCTAGCACATTTCCCCAGGAGAGAGTAGAAACGGCACCTCCCAGCAGCTGGATTAAAGTTGTTGCTTTAGCCAAGCGTCTCTACCCCTCTTCTGCAATGCATATGGTATTTGTATTTTCCAATCTTTCCTTAACTAAGGCATACAGGTTTAGCCTTTGTTGAAATAGTTCCTGTTTAGATGATAGGAGATTAGAAATGGCCCTTTACCTTTTCAGATCTACTCTGATTCTACTATATGTTGTTTGTTTTTTAATAATTAAAATCTTATTTAATGACTTCTTTTTTTTTACTTGTGACATAATTGATTTTACATATTTTGGGAGTGTAGTATTGACTATTAATATTCATGTATAATAGGTGATGATCAAATCAATATTATTAGCATGTTCACTATTACAAATCATAATCATTCTTTGTATCCTGAACATTCACTAAACCATATTATGTTCTATTTGGTAACAAAAACTGAGCATCCTCTTTTCCTCCTTGTTAATGAGCTTTCATAAAGCTGAAGCATGAACTAATCTTTAAAGGCAGTTGAAACTTCTTTTTTCTCCCTGGGCCAAAGTGTAACTAAAAATGTTGCAGATATAGTTCATCTGCTAAATATGTTACTGTTTGAAACTAGGCTATTAAAGTACATATCTGAGAGCCCTTGAGCAAATAAAAAGCCTAAGAGACAATAACACGAGATCCAGGTGCAGTAGGAACCTGTCTCAGTTTATAATCTCTCTACAGTCTTTCAGTTCTTGCTCTGAAAAGTATCCTTCCAGCCTCAGTCTGTAATTGCCTCAGAAGCCACATTGAACCTTCTTCCCTGTGGTCTTCATGCTGTTGCAGCTGTTTGCCAGCTGTTTTCCTGATAGGGGAGGCAGATGGGAGCTTGCTGGTACTTAAGTCCTGTTTTTCTCATTAAAGGCGGTTCATTATTATAACTAACGTGTGGCAAGTCAGACCACAATGGGAACAAAACTGATTGATCTTGACTCTAGCACATTTCCCCAGGAGAGAGTAGAAACGGCACCTCCCAGCAGCTGGATTAAAGTTGTTGCTTTAGCCAAGCGTCTCTACCCCTCTTCTGCCATGCATATGGTATTTGTATTTTCCAATCTTTCCTTAACTAAGGCATACAGGTTTAGCCTTTGTTGAAATAGTTCCTGTTTGGATGATAGGAGATTAGAAATGGCCCTTTACCTTTTCAGATCTACTCTGATTCTACTATATGTTGTTTGTTTTTTAATAATTAAAATCTTATTTAATGACTTCTTTTTTTTTACTTGTGACATAATTGATTTTACATATTTTGGGAGTGTAGTATTGACTATTAATATTCATGTATAATAGGTGATGATCAAATCAATATTATTAGCATGTTCACTATTACAAATCATAATCATTCTTTGTATCCCTCACCCAGTTTCTCCCTAAGACTTATTTTAAAGTAAGTTAAAGTGAGTTAGAAAAACGTCAAGGATCTACTTTTGGGAAAACCATATAAAATAGTTTAATATTTGATTATCTCATGCCATGTTATCTTTGAATTCTTAGACACATAGAAAAAAATCATATCTTAATGCAAAACAATCCCATGACTCTAGATTGTTAATATTCAATTGACCTTTTCCATCCCTCAGCTTAGATACCCAGATCTTGATGTTCTGCTGCCATTTACCATTTGGTATTCTGTGATTATTTGGTAAAAAGAAATAAAGATGTGAAATCTGGTGATGATTTTGGGAGAGAACAAGGGAAGTAAATAAGGTGTAGGAGAGATTTGTGATGTTAGGCTTCTTGGGACTGAAGACGTTGTTGCAGGAGATGTATGTCAGGAAATCGAGAGGAAGGCCCTGATTAATGTTGACTCCACAACACATGCACAGCCATCTCAACACAGGACAACTGAGTGGTGGGAGAGAGAACAGAGACACACAGACGTGGGGCTGACAGTCACAGTTTATTAATAACAGCCTGTCCTTCAGCCCACACTTGGTGCAGTAACATACCAGTGCAAGAACATCTGGCTTAACAAACACTGCCATTTAACTGAAAATTCCCAAGTCATTTAAAAGAAATAAGGCTCACTGAATATGCTTACGCCTGTTTTCATGTACCATGTGATTTGGAGCTGTTTCAGATAGGGTTAAAAATAAATAAATAAGACCAAGATGATTCACTGATATTAAGGGATCATATGAGAAAAATAATTATAGACTCATTGTCTATAATTTACATATGATTTAAAATATATCATATTGGGGAGGGGGACTATTTTATCCCCAAACATCTTTTGACCCAAAGTTTTTTAAAAATGAATACTCTATCCTCGTTAGTGTAGTGGTAAGTAATAAAAGAAAAATGAATACTGTAAAATGTATAGCTATGTTTAAGGAATATGCTAAATCTAAAATTAGAACACTGGAGCACTTGAACAATTGGGCTATTTCAAACTGCTAAGAATGTTCAGGCAACATCATTTTACTATAAGCCATAATTTTATAGAAACAGTGGCTGAAAACACTTCTGCCCCTTTTAAAAAATCATTTTTCTGCTTCTTTTTTCATTAGTTATATTAGTTCTTCCAGCACTTATTTTCATCTGCCTTTGCCTTTCTGAAGAAAACTAGAAATTTCATCGTACCTAAAACATTTCAATGGACAAGTACAAATTATATATATTCTGTGATTTAATGCAACAGTGGAACTCTAATAGATTGTATCTGTATCATATTGTATTTTAGGTTCCTGTAATTAAATAATAGAAAGGCACTCCAGAAAATATGTCTACAGCTCATTTGTTTTATGTGATAATCCATAATGGAATTAATTGCTGTAGGAAGATCACTATTAATGATATAATTTGTAAAATTCATTTATGGTTTTATTGCTTTTTTTGCTATTTGTTTTGCAGTTAAATTTGGCAATATTTTGCTTCTGCTGTACAAAGTTTTGTTTAAAATTAATGAAGAAAGTATGCTTATCTCTATAACATATATAAATTGTAAGATCATATTTACAGAAAATAGTTAACTTGTAGATACAAGAAAAATTTTAAAAATCATACGTAAAAGCCTTGTATTTTATTTCCTTTCTAGGGAGTCAAGGGCACAAGAAAGGAGCACGAACACCCAAGGTACCAAAACAGGGTGGCATGAACTGGGCAGACCTGCTTCCTCCACCGCCAGCGCACCCTCCTCCACACAGCAACAGTGAAGAGTACAGCATTTCTGTAGATGAAAGGTGAGAGGAACCTCAGAATAGATGTTAGTGTTGGAACACGATTGCTTAAGCCCAAAGTAAGTAATTGTTAAACTAGACCACAAAGAGGAGACTGAGTCCTAAGGTCCATAAGCAATGTTCTCTAAATAAAAGTATTGATCAGCAGGACTTAACCATACTTGGTGCTGCCCCAGAAAAGGAACTGGTGCTTTGGAAGCTTTGGGGAACAGCTGGGGGAGAAGAGAGAGAAGAAGGCAAAAATGACTACAAGATTTCTAGTTTGGATTAGTAAGCAAATTGCTTTGCTATTTGTTAATAAAGGAAACAGGAAAGGGTGGCAAAGAGGGAGATAGTGGGATTAGGAAAGTAAAGAAAGAAACAACAAATCATGTTACTTGAGCATCAACTTTGCTGAGTCCAGGTAAGGAGGGCAGGAGGTAGAGAATGAACAAGAGAGAGGGTTAAGAAAAACACAGTTTCTATAATGCAGTACATCACTGCCATGCTAATCAACAAACACATACCCTGGAGTAAGAGAAGAGAGAAAAGCATGATTGTTTTCTCCATTCGCCTTGCTTCCCACACAGCCTAGCAGAGAAGTAGAGGAGGATTTTATTGTTTAAAAGTATTGTATTTTTTCACTCACTGTCCTAAATGCAAGCTAAAACTTTATTTTGGGCTCAGCCGAAGAAAAAAAATGATATATTATTATAATTTCAGAGAAAACAGAGGGTTGTATTGGACAAAATAAGTTGATCTTCAATATTTCTCCCACTGGAAGAATTTTCAAGAGTAATTTGTCTCAAAGCTTAGAAGCTTATTCTCGGGTCATCTGTAACATCATTTTTGAGTCTTCTTTTTGAGAACATGTTGAATTGGAGGGACAGAATACATCAAATACATGTGGAATCTCCAATGTCAAACTATGTTAAGTGGATTTCTTTATTGCATGACTCAGCAGACTATATAATATGCTAACATAAATTTCAATCCCTCAGAGAAAGATAATACATGTAGTAATTCACAAACTTTTGTGACAGTGAACTGTTTTTTAAAGAATACCTCCTTAACATGACCCAGAATATTCAGATTTGAAAAACAATTCAAAGATGACATTCCACTTGAATAAAATGAAGGAAATCTACATGCCCTTATAATTTCTTTTAGCTATGACCAAGAAATGCCATGTCCTTTTTGTCTTTTTTCATGACCGGTAACGGGATCGCAACCCTTGGTGTCGCGCCCGCACCACGCTCAACCAGTGAGCGGACCGGTCTCTCCATGGGATCTGACCCCTCGGCGGGAGCGCCGCACTCTACCGAGTGCGCCACCGGGCCGGCCCTGCTTAGATGTTTTTAACCTGAGCATCACCACTCAACATTTTTTTGTCGTGTATGACTTTACTTGTCATTTCTACCACATAAAAGCTATTACTACATGATGTTAGCTTTTCTCTCATTGTTGATGATTTTGTTGGTACTATTTTATTGCCCTTGACACATTATATTATATATATTACTTTTTGTATTCCTAACATCATTTGAAACTGAGTATATTATTTGCCACAGATGATTTTCCTTTCATGTTCTTGAATGAATAACAAATTCTGGTTTATGCTGCTAGAATTTTATTCTGTATATTAAAACAGAATTTTGCAATGTTTATTAACTATTCCATCTTTAAGAGGTTATTACCAAATTCAAATCATATACTCTGCAAAAAGAAGGAAATAGTTAAACCTTCTTCGATGTGTCAAGGGGGACATTTGATTGCCATTCATTTAAATGTAATATTCTTAACCCATGAAACTTTATGAAGATTGGGAACAAATAAGGCATCACTTTTTCCCTTTAAGGTCACAGACCATGTCCACTACTCTTATTGGAAGCAAATGAGAGACTGAGATTGTGCAGCTCTGAAGTATCTTAGCATTCTTCCTTTGTTCTCTCAAATCACCTATTTCCTCTCCAGTCCTGTCTGTGTTACCAGGGGTGCCCAATAACTTCTTCCCGGGCAGCCTTCTCCTTTGTCTCCCTTATGCCATCCTTTCCACCTTCCTCAAAAACAAATATTGGTTTCCTTTTATTTCTCATGACTTTATGGTCTCTTCCTCTTCATTCAATCCTTCTCTCTTTTCACCGTTAACTCTACTACTTTAAAACTTTTCCTTTCCTTGACCTCCCCTTCTAGTGCATGTCATTCTGCTGCTGCTTAGTGATGTTTAACTACTTCTGTCTTCCCAAGTCCTACTCACCCCTCAGCGCACTGCAGCCTGCCTTATCCCAGTGCTTTCATCAGTCTACTGAAAGCAACCTTCTAATGGTCATCTCTGAAAGCTTCTAAGTCTTCGTCATACATAAGGTTTCCATAACGATGGGGATTTTATAAATTGTTATGAGAATCAAATAGATCATGTGTGTAAAATATCTGAAGCAGGATCAGTATTCAACAAATATTAATGTCCTACTGTCTTTACACTTACACTCTCACCCCATTGCTTGCTTCAACTATTACTTACTTATATTCTGATGACTGAATTGTTATGAGAATCAAATAGATCATGTGTGTAAAATATCTGAAGCAGGATCAGTATTCAATAAATATTAATGTCCTACTGTCTTTACACTTACACTCTCACCCCATTGCTTGCTTCAACTATTACTTACTTATATTCTGATGACTGTCAAATTTATTTAGCCAGCCCAGACCTTTTTCCTGAGTGCCACAATGTTTTCATTTGGCCATCTCCACATGCCCAAATCCAAATTCTTCATCTTTGCCCTTGACTTTTCTAAGCTTGCTCTTTCTCCTTCTTGGATGGCTATCTTGTTTAGAATTATCAATCATTATTTATTTGACCAATGTATTAAAAATAAAATAGCCAAGAAATGAGGCAAAATCATGAAACATACCTTTGTCATTTTGAAATCAGCTTAATTTTCCTACTGTTTAATTTCTTTTATTGTTTTTCTACCATCTCATAAAATAATTTTTCACCAAGTCACTTCCATTCTAACTTCAAAAAACCTCTTGATTTTGTTTCTTTATTTCCATTCCTGTAGCTGCTATGGCACACTGTCAGTCCCTACCCCTTGACAAACTGTCCACTCTCACGTTATCATTCTTTGCACACAGCAAGTCTAGTAATGTTTTCCCCCATTCAGAGACAAACAGTCTTACAGTTTAGCCAAGTATTCAGAGCCTTTTACAATCCTTTCCCCTTTATTTACCTTTCCCTCCCAAACCCTTCACACACCCTCTTTTCTGAGCAGGCTGTTTGAAATTTCCTGAATTTGTCTTGAATTCACCACATCCAGGTCTTGCACATGCTGTTTTTTGATTGCCTGACAAGCTCTCTCATCTTTCCAAGCCCTGCTCAAATGACACTCCCTCTGTGAAGCTTTCCTCTGGTTGCCTAACAAAAATCAACTGTCCTTCTCAGTTACTCTTCGTAAGGGTCTATACACATCTCTGCAACCACACTGTCAGTTCTTATGTTGCATTAGCATTTGCTGTTTGTATCTCTGTTGCCACACTTAAATTAAAGCTCTTTGAGGGCAGAGCTTATGTCTTACTCACGTCTTTGAGTTCCACAGAGCTTTCTTCAGGAAGTATTTGATGAATGGAATCTCATACTGCAGGAGAATTTGGAGTTGATCTACTCCTACTGTTTTAGGATAATGAATACTTGTATGAACTTCAGGTGGACATACATAATTGGGAAATGCAAAAGAACCCACACTTATAATCATTCTAACTGTATTCAGACTTTTTGAAAGGTATGATTACCAGTCTGTAATAGTATAAGAATTTTATTTCCAGAATCATTGCTGGAAGTAACACTGGACACTAATGAAAAGTAGATGAAAGCCCATTAAAAAAAAAAAAAAAAACCCTCAGTGCTTTTCTATGATGAATGTATATTCTATACATTTACTATGGAAATTTTTGAAAATACAGATAAACAAAATGAAAATATTAAATTGATAATGATGCATGTAGTCAGAAACAGCCACTCAGTAAAGATCCTTCCAATCCTCTGTCCTTACGTGTACTCACATTGCTTTGGGTATGCCAATATTATTTTGTTAAATACTCTTGTCACTGAACAGTGTATTTTTCTATGTTGATAATTTTTTATTTAGACACTGTGTTAAATGTGTACTGTCATTCATTTAACCAGTTCCCTAATGTTGGGAATTAAAATGTGTCTACCTTTTGATACTATAAATGATAGTGATTCCCATCTTAGTCAAGTCCTTGAATGAAACCTCTTCTCAATCCTTGACCTGTTCGAATACCTGCCCTATCAATAGATGACTTCTCCCTCTTATCATCCTGACACTTCCCTAATGGTGCACTCCTTAGAGACTGATAGCTATTTCTCTATAGATCTCATTCTAGAGCTTCAGACCCATATACCCACTTACTTGTTCCTGCAGTTTTACTGCCTAAATATCACTATGAGTGATATACATGTCTCCAGCCATAAATGCACTTCCCTGGATCTGACAGCCATTTTCTCTCACCTGCATTACAGTAATGCTCCACTAAGTGAGCTTGTTGCCTTTAGCCTTTGCCCCTTCTTCAATCTAATCTCATGCTGCAGACTGTGCAGAGGGATTTTCCTAAAATGCAACGCTGATCAAGTCTCTCCACTGCTTAAAATCTCTCAATGGCTTCCCATTTCCCTTAAAATAAAGAGATTCCATAATGTAGCAATCAAGGCCCTTTGTGATCTGACCCCTGTGTGCCTTCCCATCCTTACTCACTGCCACTCCCCGTCACTGTCTGTATTGTCTTCACTCTGAATTTCCTCCAGTTCCTGGAAGGAACACAGTTCTTGTTCACCTCAAGATCTTTGCTTGTGCCATGCATCTTCCTGGAACACCACTTTCCACTCTCCTTTTGGAGCTAACACCCACGTATCCTTTAGATTCAAGATTAAGTGGCAGAATCCTCCTCACAGAATCTTTCCCTTATGTCTCAACTTGGAATAGGAGCCAATTCTATGTGTTCCCACAACACTCTCTGCATCCTCTGTCATGGTACTTACTTAATACTGCATTACCATTGCATACTTATTTAATTGTTTGTCTCCTACACTGGACTACAGATAGTCTTTGCAGACAAAGACTATTTCTATTTTATTTAGCCGAATTCCTAACATAGTGCCTGAGTTCCTGTCTCTATTCCTAACAAACTACTCCCCAAACTTAGTGGCCTAAAACACCACTTTATTTTATTCACAATCCCCACAGGTCAAGAATTCTGAAAGGATTCAGCTGGGCAATTCATCTCCAGTCCATACGGTTTTAGCTGGGTTGTTGGGATTATAAGATCACCTTCCAAGTTAGTTCCTGCACACATGTGTCTGATATCTCAGTGCTCCTCAGTCTCTGCTTTCTCTTGGAGTCTCATCCTCCAGGGTCTCACTACATATCCCAGGCTTCACATAACATGGGGTCTCAGGGTAGTGGCACTTACATGGCAGCTGGATTCCAAGAAGGCAGGAAGAGGAGGTTGCCAGGCCACTTAAGAACTACACTCAAAACCGGGACACAGTCTTAGTTTGGCCACATTCTAATAATCAATCTCATCCTCCAGGGTCTCACTACATATCCCAGGCTTCACATAACATGGGGTCTCAGGGTAGAGGCACTTACATGGCAGCTGGATTCCAAGAAGGCAGGAAGAGGAGGTTGCCAGGCCACTTAAGAACTACACTCAGAACCGGGACACAGTCTTAGTTTGGCCACATTCTAATAATCAAAACAGTCACGGGGTCCATCCAGATTCAACAGTGTGGAACTCAGTTCCTTCTTTTAATGCGGTAGTGGCAAGTTCTCTTGTCCAAAGAGCATTTGCAATGGGAGAGATTGTTATGAGCATTTTGCAAAATACAGTCTTGCTATGGCCAGATATGTAAGTAGCTTATATTAAATATGTATGCCTTAAAATTGAATCCCAGGGCTGGTTGGTTAGCTCTGTTGGTTAGACTGCAGCCTTATAACCCCAAGATCATGGGTTCGGATCCCCATACTGGCCAGCTGCATAAAAACCCAAAAGCCAGAAAACAAAATTGAATCCTGGACTGGTCGGTTAGCTCAGTTAGTTATAGCATGGTGATGATAACACCAAGGTCCAAGGTCCAGAGTTCGATCCCTCTACCAGCCAGCCACCAAAAAAAAAAAAAAAAAAAAAAAAAAATTGAATCCTTTCATGTCTAAGCCCTTATTGCCTGTGGTCTCTTTGGTCTTAAAATCTAGCAGAGCACCATAGTAGGTGTGCAGTAAATCTTTAAAGACTAAATACATTTATTACTTTTGTGTTGATCGATTAGGGGAATATATAAATAGTGATATATATTAATAAAAAATTACAAACTATAACACTGTAGTATTAATTAAACAATAAAGACTTGCAGTATTATGAACATTGCAACTTCGGCATGCAAATAAACTTCTAGGATATTCTATTTTTTCTAAAATGATATAAACTAGGTCACCAATGTAAAAGGAATCTTTCTTCATTTTTTTTGAAGACAATAACTATGAAAATTGTATAGTTAAACTTATTCACATATATTGTTTCAAAAAGTGTCTGGTATTACTGAGTTACTGCAGTTGACATTTAGTAAAAATCTCTTGAAAAGTAAAACTGGGGCCTGCCCATGGCTCACTTGGGAGAGTGTGGTGCTGATAACACCAAGGCCCCGGGTTCAGATCCCTATATAGGGAT